AAGCCAGGGTAGGAGGGACAGAGATGCCCAAGGCTGGAACTACCCCTGGGTGGAGCTAGAGACCATGCGGTAGCCTAACCAGAGGGGCAGCAGCTTCCAGACTCAGGGCTATTGGGTCCTGGTAGCCAGGAGACCTGTGAGATCTGTGACCTGAGCCCCAGCCCAGGTGGTTCTGTGGGGCAGCAGGAGGGATGGGATGGTGCCGGGGGCTGGGCTACAGAGCAGCCCTCCCAGCCAAGCGAGGCATGTGCAGCTTAGGGCTTACAGGCTGGGTGGGTCACCTGAGACTTGCCAGAGTCCTCCCTAACCCCACCTGGTCTTCCATGTCCTGAAGCTCCTCCTGGAAAGTCCCACAAGTCCCTTCATCACCCCTAAAATACGTGTCAGGAATACCAGGCAAGGTATTTAATAGCAAAGAGAATAGTGAGGACCCAACCATGGGGGGACCTTTCCAGCCCACCCTGAGCAGAAGCATCAGGAAGGCACCTGAAAAGCAGACAGATGGGCCAGGAAGCCTCTTTGGGAAGACAGAGTTAAGGTGAGCAGACCGGGGCCCAGCAGCCCAGAGCCTGCCCTTCACGCATCAGTGTGGGAATTGAGCCCAAGTATTTGTAGGGGCATGAACGCAAAATTGTCCTTGTCCCTGAAGGCTTACAGATGTTGGGAGATGGAGACAGACCATCAGCCTGCAGCTGTGGCCACTGTGCATGCCTTTGGAGCTTTCCTGAGGCTGCTCAGTGAATCCAGGCTGCCTCAAAAGGGAGCAGATCCGCTTCTGTGGCTTATGGCCACTGCTGGGTACCTGGCCTCTCTGTCTGGCACCATTGCCTGGACAGAGAGGCCTGTACTTGCCGGGAGGGCAACTGAAAGGAATCTGAACTCTAGCCCCTCCCTTTCACCAGCTCCAGGACAGCAGGCATGGGCCAGTGTCTGGTAAGGAAACTGACTTAGACAGGCACAAAACCCAGCAGCCTGCAGGAGAGGCTGGAGTGGGGCAAGGAGTCCCACAGAGCCCTCCAGGACAGATGCCTATGCTCATGGTGTGTGCACCTGGGCCTCCCACCAGCGTGAAGCCTTTTTCCTAAATAGAAGCAGAAGCAGACAACTACCACCAGAAGTTGTTTACAGAAAGCCCCGTGCCTGAAAGACCAGCAGGGGCTGAGACGGGGAGGAGAAAGTTTGCGGTGGGCTCGAAGCTCCAGCATCCAGCCAAGAGAAATGTGTTCAGAAGAAAATGTCATCCTTATCCTCAGAGTTAATAGAAGATGTTGCATGCATAAAACAAGAACAGGATGCTGAGACTGAAGAATAAAGAAAGCTCTTTGTAGGGTAATGAAATGAACAAGACTGGGGAAAGATTGGGAGATTAAGTAGGATTGTCCCACGAAGGAAAACAGATGGAAAAGTAAGAACAGAGAGGTGAGAAATTGGGAAAGATTTTAGGGCTTCAATACTCACTGATGGATACTCCCAAGAAAGAAAACCAGCATGGGAGAAATTAATGAAGAAATGGTACTAAAACACGTGTGGTCCTAAAAGACAGGGATAATCATCTGGGAAGTTGCACCTGGCACCAGAGCCCCTCAGCAGGGCATGGTCTGAGGTGGAGAGATTGGAGTGTCATCGGGGCCCCCTGCCAGCAGCACTGAGGACAGAGAACAGAACAGAATGATTCGCAGTTCTGGAAGAAAAAGGGCATTTCTAGGCAGTCAGAAGCAGGCACCCCGCAGGATGGTTCTGGGGGGTGGAGTGGTGGGGTGAGGAGGATGTCAGGTCTGCCCCAGGCGAGCCCAGAGGGAGGACAGAGGGTCTCTGGGACTCAGAACGGTAGGACAGATTCTCAGGAAGCACACAGCAGAGACCCTGGAATGCTTGGGGAAAGATTAACCAGGAGCCAGGGCTGAAGCAGGAGGAAATAATTAACAAGGTGGTGAGGCCTTCTCACCCGTGGGGCTGCTGGCCTGATGTGGCATTGCAGGGCTGAGTCCTCCACAGGTAGGGAGAGGGTGGGGACAGCCTGAGGCTGTGACTTATTGAAAATCCTGGGAGAAGCTGATGAGCCCAGAGAGGTGGCCCGTGGGAAAGGGGTAGGTAGGGACACCAGGCTTTCAGGATACGCCTCTGTTGCTCTTTCACTTTCGAAACTGTGTCCAAGCAGTGCTTTAATAAAATTAAAATCAGAAGGCAAAGAAGGCACAGGGATGCTGCCAGGGCCACAGCTCCCGACACCTGGACTCTGGAGGGCACTGGGTCTCAGAGCTACTGCCCACACCCTTCACAATGTCCCTCCTTAGGGCCCTGGGTCCCCAGCCCGTGGCGCCCCAGGCCTGTGGGTGTGGCTGCCTCTTGGGGAATGGAGGCCACACCCAGCGATGGCTCACCCGACAGGTTTCCATTAGGGCACCTTCCAGCCTGAAGCAGCCTTTGACCACCCCTGGGAGAGGCTGCCACAGCCGAAGTGCCACCCGCCAGGGCTAAGGCACTATCTTGGAGGAAGGGGCTAGGAAGAGTCAGACGTGGGCAAAGAAGTGGTGGCCTGGGTACTGGAGGGCAGGAAGGAATGTGGTGGTGGGGGGCTCCTGAAAGCATTTATTTGTGGGGGAGGAGGATGTGTCAATGGAAAGTACCCCCTAGATAAATAAACCATGTTTAGAAGGAAAGGCCTGCACAGGGTCTTGGGGCTGTCCATGGGGGTATCTTGTGCTTGCTGCCTAGAGAGACAGAAGTTTGAAGTCAACTGGCTCCTCCACCAGGTTAAAACGCAAACAGGCTACTAGTGGGTGATCTAGGATGTTGCAGACCTGCCCGGGCCCTGGCTGGCATCACAGAAGCCAGGCCCCCAGGGGAGGCCTCGTCTAGCTGCTGTTGTCATCGCCCAGTGACTCGGCATGTCCTGAGGAATGTGCCCTCCCAGCCAGCGTGGGGGCAGCCCCTCCCTACGGCCTGCACTCCTGCCTGGAATGGTTTTTGCAGAGAACTGGTGTCCCTGAGAGCTTGGTGGCCTCTGGGGCTGAGTGGGGACAGAGAGCCAGACCTCCCAGTGTCCTACAGATGCTCCGGCGAGCTGATTCAGTCAGTCGTGTGGCCTCACCAGGTCTCCCTGCAGAGAGTAACTCTGGGCAGGTGACTCTGAGCCTTGTTTTTCCACCAGAAAAAAAGGTTTTGACCTCTGGGGATGTGTGGTCGTCACATACACAGTCTGGGGGCCCCAGGGCACACTGGGTGGTGCTGGCCCTGTTTTTATGTGACTCGAAGAGTAGAGGAGCCCATTTCCTCCACATGGTACTTGCTCTTCCATGGTCCTCCTGAGCACTGGCACCTGTTCCACTGCCTGTGCAGTCTGAGGAGAACAGAGTGGTCCACAATGGCACGGCCTCAGTCACCACAGCACTGGCATGAGCCCAGCAGCCAGCCAGGTCCCATTTCAGACCCTTTGCACCTCTAAGCTCCTGGATACAGGATGGGCTTTCAGTGCCCTTCATCAGATTTTGAGACCAAGACACACAAAAGTGGCATCACTTGCTTCCAGATGCTGTGCCCCAGGCAGGGCCGTGCCCTAACCCATGTGGGAGCCTCTGGGCTGGGATGTGCCCAGAGCATTGGGAGGGCAGACCCTCAAGATGGGCCAGTTAGTGAGGCTGAGAGAGGGGCGCAGACCAGAGCCTAGCTTGCCTTGGTCAGGAAAGGTGGCCATGGACCGTCCCTACCCCACCCAGGACGTGATGCTGCAGAGTGCCCAGGAGCAAACCTTCAGGGGACTCTTGCCGGGCCCCAGCTCAGGTGTGTGCATCCGGCTCCACATTTCTTGGTCACTGGGGGTCCCTGGCCACCAGGACTCCATCTGGATGCACATGACCATGGTCATGGCATCAGGGGACAGGCACAGTGGTGAATTTCCAGCCAGCTCATCAAGATTGAGAAGAACACACGTCCCAAGCCCGAGGGTGCAGGAGGAAAGGGAGAAATGTTGGCACCAGCCTCAGGAGCATCAGGCCCAGGGCTGAGGACGGTGTGGTATAGATGGACTTGGGGACACATGATGCCAGCAAGGATGGGCCAGAGCATCCCCGGGGTGGGAAGCAGGGAGTGGGTGGCCCACATGTGGCAGTTTGGGGCCATGGTGATGCCCGTGGGGTGGCTACTCCCCCACGCTGGGTGGCATGTCCTGCTGTCCTGGGTTGGGGGTCAGTGCTGTGCTACTGTTACACCTGCACTGGACAGGTGCTGTCCTCTCGGAGGAGGCTCCTGGGGCTGGGGCTGCCGGCTCCATTCTGAGGTTGGGGATGTGGAAGGATGCTGCTACATGGTGCCTGGCGTATGGAAGGGTTTTGTAGACAGCCATCCACAGCCATGTCACGTAGTGTGACTGAGGGAGGGGTACAGACAGGCCAGGCTCAGGTCCTGGGCCTGCCACATCCTCTGCTTCATCCTGGGCAAGTCCCCAGGCCTTGCTGTTTCACTTGCAAAGCGAGAGGAGACGCCACTCCTCAGGGGAGCCTGGCCTGGGGGCTCTAGGAGGCTGAGGTCACCACCATCTTATCTGGTGCCAGTCTTGGGGCACTCCAGAGGACAGCATTAACTGTCCTTGTGACCACAAGGAAGTGCCTGTTGTCAGTCCAGGCCTGTGGGGCTCCAGGGCCAGGCACCCTGAGCCACCCCAGCTCACCCTCAGCTCAGGAGTTTTTCTGGGTGTGCTGCCCAGCAGAGGAGGCGGGGTGTTCCTCCCAGGTCCTTGAGAGCTCAAGAACCAGCATCTGCCTGACCCTGTGCCTGCCATCCTCAGACACACCCCTCCATCGGGGCGGGTGGGGGCTGGGCTCCTAGGGACTGGTTTGTGCCGCTGACCCGCCCTGCCACCAGCTGAGTCACCATCATTTGCACAGTGGGGCTCTAACCCAGCGGGTTCTAAGGAACAGGAGGAGCGGATGGCCAAGAGGGACAGGGAGTGAGGCCCTCATGAGACCCTTGCCCTGCCCTTCCCCAGGACCCTGAAGTGCAGCATGTCGGAGCGGTACTCGGACAGCTCCTTGGAGGACAAGCTTCTGGAACACCGCTTCCACTCAGAGCTCCGACTTGATGCCAACGGGAACCCAGCCCCCGGGCTCCCCATGGTGCGGGGTTCCCTGCAGGTCAGGGCCAATGCTGCCTTCCAGTCCGAGGCCCCAGCACCCCCAGGGGACGAGGAGTCACGGCCTGTTGTTCTGAGCACACAGAGCCCGGTGGCCCTCAAGATGGGCACCCAGCAGCTGATCCCCAAGAGTCTGGCTGTGGCCAGCAAGGCAAAGACCCCAGCCCGTCACCAGAGCTTTGGGGCAGCGGTGCTCAGCAGGGAGGCTGCCCGGCGGGGCCCCCCGCTCCTTGCTGTCCCCAGCTTCTCCCTGGATGACATGGACATGGACATGGACTCAGGCCCCGGGGGGATGCTGAGGCGGAACCTGCGGAACCAATCCTACCGGGCCGCCATGAAGGGCCCGGGCCAGCCAAGCAGCCAGGGGGAATCCGTCCAGCTGAGCCCCAAACTCCAGGCTCTAGCTGAGGAGCCCAGTCGGCCTGCCCGGTGCCCAGTGAAAAATAAGGTAAGGGCCTGCACCTGGACAGTGGGGAGGGGCTGTAGGCTGGGGTGCCCTGAGTCTCTTCATCCTCATCCTCTGCACTGTGGCTGTAGCTGCTTAGTGAGCACCTACTGTGTGCAGGCTGGTTTTTCTTTTAATTTTGAGATGGAGTCTCACTCTCACCCAAGCTAGAGTGTAGTGACACCATCATGGCTCACTGAGTCTCCAACTCCTGGCCACAAGTGAGCCTCAGCCTCCCAAAGTGCTAGTGCCACAGGTGTGGGCCCCCATGCCCAACTTTGTAAGCTACTGACTGGTTTAGTCTAGTGAAGCACGACAGCCAGGCCTTGGGTGTGAATACCCCACTTTATGGACAATGTGTCTGAGGCTGGGAAAGGCTGAGGGTCTTGCACAGACCTCCGATGCTGGCGTCCACCCTGGCAGACCCAGTGGAGAGCAAAGTCTTGGGTGGATACACCTCTCTCCCATCCCCAGCTGGGAACTGGCCTGTGTGAATATAGGACTCAGGGATGACTTGAGCAGTGAACAGCTGAGCTCGGTGTGTCCGAGGGGCTCCAGGCTGCCCATTGCCTCGGATTTGGCAGAGGTCTGCATGTTCCTTCTGTCCACTCCCCACTTCTCTGCCTGCTGTTGGGGCTCTAGGGCTGAGGTCCAGGGTGGTGTACCCTTCCCTGGCCAGTGATGCAGCCGCAACTGTACATGTCTCTGAGTCTGGGGACTTAGCAGGACAACATGAGGCCCCGGGACTTGGTGTACCTTCCCTCTGAGTCACCCTCCCCAGAGACGGGGGCCAGGCCTATGTGGCCAGCAGCCAAAGGCAGGGAGAGCTGCCCAACTCTTGGGCACCCCCAGGCCAGGGCTGGGGCTCTGACCCCCCTGCTTGGTATCTATCTGGTGGGCTAGGGCTCAGGAGCCCAGCTGGCCAGGGCCCACCCACTGGGGCTTCTCCAGCAGCCTTGGAAGGCCTGAGCTTCCTTAGGAATTGGAAACAGCAGCTTTGGGCCAGGGGCATCTGTGCAGACTGGAAGCAGCCTGAGGCACAACGACTGACTTGGTGAAGGGCTGGGGAGTGTCTCTCATTGCTGTGTGAGCCCAGGCACGTACTTGAACCCTACAGGCCCTTGGCCTCCCCATGTTAAGCAGAAGTCCTACTGGGGTGGACTCGAGATCAGAACTCAGCTACCTGAGTGCTGGCCACTGTCCACAGGAAGGGTAGCCTCCCCTGGGTGCCCTCCCCCTCCCTCTCTGCCCTGGCCTTCTGCCCAGATAGAGCTGTAGCCCTAGGCTCAAGGGAAGCTGAGACCTCCTGTCAGCGATGGCCACCCAGCCTGGAGGCTGAGGTGGCCCCATGTCTTCTTGGTCACCAGTGATACCAGGCCCCAGAATCACCTAGGGACCTTTGTTGTGGGTCCCCACACCCCAGGGGCTGGGATGGGCCCACCACTCTGTACCCAGCCCGGGCCCAGCCTACAGGACTCCTGTGATCACTCGTTCAAAACTCACACTCACTGATTCCTGCATCCACAGACACTCCCTGAGTACCCACTACATGCCTGGTGCTGGGGTGCCAAGGTGGGCCCTGTGGGTGAGGTCCACATCCTTGGAGTGCTCACAGGGCCAGGGGACTATTGAGGGCTGGGCTGAGCCCAGCTCAGGGGGGCAGTGGGAGCACAGAGGAAGGGGCTACCCATGACTTGGGACCTGGAGCAAGGAGGGCAAGAGTGGAGGTGGGAAGGGTAGGGGCTGGGGCAAAAGCTCCAGGCAGACCTGGAGGTAGCTGGGGTCGGGGCTCCAGGATGCAGGGCTCAGGGTGCCTGCCAGGTGCAGCAAGGGGAGTTTTCAGGTCCCAACCTGGTCTGAGAAACCAACTCCTGCTTTCTGGGAACCAGCGTATGTATGAGGTTGGGAACATGTTGTGTCTTGGCCAAGGAGGGGTCTCCAAACTGGGCATCTGCAGGGTAGGGCCCAATCGCCTCCGATGTTGTCCTTCAGCTGCTGGTCCCTGCCCTCTTCAGATCATGTCCTGCAAGGGCCCCGAGTACAGCCTCCTGTCCCTGTTAGCCTTCACAAAGCCCAATCTTGGGCTTCCTCTGCCCCTTTGGGCCTCCCAGACCCTCCGCCCACTGTCCTGACCATCTCTTCAGAACTAGCTCCATCCTCCTCCTCCAGGCAGCCCTCCAGGACCTGCTCTGGGCCTCCACCTATTGGCGTCCGCTGGGGGGCCCTCAGGCCCTTGTGGGGTTGACATTTATTGAGCACCTTCTATGTGCCTTACATAACCCCTCCCATTGGCCATGACTTTGCACATGAAACTGAGAAGGCCCTGGGTACCAGGGCAGGAGATGGGCCCACACCTGCCCATCCCTGCTGACTGCCGGTATTTGTCTCGTTTGCACAGAGGACGCTGGGGCGGAAACGTGCACATAAAGGCTCCTTCAAGGATGGTGAGTGTGGCTTTAGCGGGCAACAGGAGGCCTGGCTGGCTGGCGCTGGGCTTCCTGGGGGTGTCCCTGGGGCTTGGAGAACTTCTTCTGTGGGGTCCTTCCAGGGACCCAGATCCTGAGGTCCCAGTAGTTTTTTTTTTTTTTTTTTTTTGTTTTTTTTTTTTGAGACAGAGTCTCAAGCTGTCCCCCTGGGTAGAGTGCCGTGGCATTACAGCTCACAGCAACCTCCAACTCCTGGGCTCAAGCGAGTCTCCTGCCTCCACCTCCCAAGTAGCTGGGACCACAGGCGCCCGCCACAACGCCCGGCCATTTTTTGGTTGCAGCCGTCATTGTTGTTTGGCGGGTCCGGGCTGGGGATTCGAACCCGCCACCTTAGGTGTACGTGGCTGGCGCCTTAGCTGGTTGAGCTATAGGCGCCGAGCCAGTCCCAGTAGTTTTAACTGCAGCTCTGAAGGATCTAGAAAGTTCCCTTCTGTGCCATCCCAAAGCAGAGGACAGAAAGCCCCCACACTCAGCCTAAGCACCCCAGGTGTGTGGAAGGCCCAGCCCATAGTGGCTGTGGCTGTGGGACCAGGGCCAGGTCAGAGGGTGCTGGCCCCAGGAAGTACAGATGCCAAGCGGTGCACTCCACCTGCAATCCTCACGGTCAGAGGGGATCCGTGGGGAGACTCAGGAGGGAGAGCTGGATATTAGCGGCACCCATGGGGAGGCTAAGGCATGAAAGGTTGGGGCAGTGAGGCCCAGGGGCGTTGGGGGTCTTGAGTGCCCAAGACCTGGCCTTGCTGAGAGGCTCTGAGACACAGTGACCTGAACCAGGAAGGGCCCTCCATCCCTGCCAGTCCCTGGAAGCTTTGTGGTCAGCCATGGACTGGGAAGTGGGGATCCAGCCTCCTCTATAAAAGTTTCAGGGAAAAGCCACCCCAAGGGAAGCAGCAGCCATGTCACAAGTCCAAGGTGAAGTCGGTGGAGGTGCCTCTACAGGTGTAACGGTGCCCTAAGCTAGGGACTAGCCCATCCCAATCCCAGGTGGGGCTTGCCGAATAGGAGGAAGGCTCGAGGGGACAGCACCAGAGCCTTCCAGCTCAGCCAGGGCACAGGTCCCACTCAGGGCCTCCCTCCCACTGCCCAGACACAGCTGGCCCCTGTGGGGGCTTCTCTGACCCTGGTCTGAAGGTGGCTCTTCTCTCTCTAGACCCCCAGTTCTACCAGGAGATCCAGGAGCGTGGCCTGAACACCAGTCCTGAGTCTGATGATGATGTGCTTGATGACCCCACCAGCCCAGAGGGGACTCGAAAGGTGGACTCCACCATTGTGGTCAAAAGCTACCGGCCCGCCCAGGTCACTTGGAGCCAGCTCCCAGAGGTAGGCTGGGGGAGTGGGGGAGCACAGGAGCCCCTGGTCATTCCCTCCCCGGTCCATGCCATCACGCAGGTGAGGGGCATCTGGGCTCAGACTGACCTGTAGGGAGCTGAGGGCACAAGTGCCCCCTTCCTGGGTCCCTGCCCCCAGAAGGGCTGGAGAGTCTATGAGAGGAGGCAGCTGTGAGGGGCCAGGGCCAAGCTACCCCCTCACTTTCCTGTCTGAAATGGGGCCTATCCTGCCCTGTGGAGGGCGTGGCCCAGGCAGTGTCCCCAGTGTACGGGGAGGGCCCCAGTAGTGGACATGACTACTGTCCAGGACAGGACTCATGACCCTGTCCTAGTCAGGAGAGGGTGGGCCTGGCTTTTCTTCATTTGTCAGATAATGGGTCCCCTTGTTTGCTGTTCCCATGGGGGACAAGGGTTGTGGCCGGTGACCACCCACTGTGCTCCACACTGCTGCATGCCATGGGATCCCAGCCAGAGCAGGCCCCACATTGGGGTGAGGGCTGGTGGGGAAGCCTCCCCACAAATGGAAAGGTCTGGATGCATGTTTACTCCCATGCTGGGAGCTAGGGGTGTGTGATCTCCCTGGCCTGGGGTGAGGTGCCATCACCAGGGTCTGACACTGCCTGCCTAGGAAGAGGAGACCCTCCATGGGGTGGTGTGGAGCCACCAGACTGACATAGTGTCACCCATCCTTCCAGGGCTGGGCATTGACTCACTTGGCCTGGAGGTGGGGTCTGAGTCACAGTGCCACCCTCCAAGTGGCCCACCTGGGTGGGCTCCACACTACTCCAGCCCCAGGGAGGGTCTTTAGGGTGAGAGCCCCTCCCCACACTCAGGCCCTTCCCTCCCTGGCCTGCCCTGGGGAGGTTCCAGGAGAGGAGAATGAAGTCCCAGCAGGACGAGCCAGCTCCCTGGCCACCGGTGTTCTAGGAGGGCTTGGCTCTGCCTGCCTCCACCCCCACCTCCACCCCTGTCCTCCACATGGGCCCTGGGTCCAAGGGAGGAGGTCAGGAAGGCATGTGGCTCAGGCTTCCAGATGTGTGAGTGGCAACCCCGGCTGTGCCATCCTCAGGTGGTGGAGTCAGGAGTCCTGGACACGCTGCCAGCTGAGGAACGCAAGAGGCAGGAGGTAAGGGTATGGGCAGGGCTGCCCCAACTGTGTCACAGGCCGCACAGCAACCTGTGGGAGGGGCCGCAGCCACGGTGACCTGAAGACTCTGCCTTCACCCTGTGCCGGGCACTACCTGAGCCCTGTGTGTCACCATGTGAATCCTTAGGGCAGGCTCGATGCGGAGGGACCACCCTTACCTCCTCCCAGACAAGGACAGGGTCCTGGCACAGGTTGTAAGTGGAGAGCTAGGGTGCAAGCCTGGGGCATCAGGCTCACATCCCCGGGCTGGCTGTCCTGACAGCCTCATCCAGGAGTTCTGTCCAGGGCTGGTGGCCCCCCCTTGCCCCACTTCCCAGATCACTCCTATGCCCAGGTGGCTCATCCGACCCCTTTCTGCAGGCCATCTTCGAGATCCTCACATCCGAGTTCTCCTACCAGCACAGCCTGAGTGTCCTAGTGGCCGAGTTCCTGCAGTCCAGAGAGCTGCGGGCAAGCATGACCCAGACAGAGCACCACCACCTGTTCTCCAACATCCTGGACGTCCTGGGCGCCAGTCAGAAGTGAGTTCCGTGCCGCAGCAGCCCGCACATACGGGCTGCACACATACTCATGCACGCATCGCCCGCTTAGCACTGTGGCGATGTGGACCGGCTCTGGGAGGGCTGTGGTCTGCATCTGTGGCTGGGGTGGTTTGGAGCAGCTGCTGGCTCAGATGAGGTGACAGCAAGGGCCCTTTGAGGCCCCTGAGGGCTGGGATGGCCTAAACACCAGGTTACGAGCATCCTGGACAATCCCAAGGGGTGGAGCGCTTCCCAGGGGCATGGCCCTGCCCTGCTGATGGGCACAGTCCCCTGCAGAACACCTGGACATGGAGGCCGCATGACCAACAGGGTGCTCACTGGCTGGGAGGCAGCCACAGATCATGTTGCACCCAGAGGTGTCTGGTGGCTGGACTGGGCTCTGGTTGCAGGGTCTGAAGGCAGAGGGGATGGGCATGAGGCTGCAGGCCTGCATGTATGTGCATGTGTGTGTCCACATGTGGGGAGATGTATGTGGATATCTACACACGTGTGCATGGGTGTGTGGGTATACATGCATGTGTGTACACATGGGGTTGTGTGTATGAGTGTGTACTGTGTATGGATGTGTGTGAATGCATGGGGTTGTGCGTGTGTGTGGGTATATGTGTGCATTGCACGGGTGCCTGTGTCTGAGTGTGCATGTGTGGGCTGAGCCTCCTGCAGGCCCTATACTCAGGAGGAACCCCTGGTGTCAAGCCTCAGCCTCACTGCTGACCAGGTGGACTTGTGTGGTGCTGCTGAGGGAACAGGTCCTGTGGGGCTGGCCACGTATTGGACCCTTGGACAGTGCTGGCTCATTCACGTCAGGATCAGGCCTCACCCAGTGCCGCCTACGGAAGTTTCAGGCTGGAGGCGGGTGCAGAAGGAGGGATGTCCTGTCCCTGGGGACAGGGGCTTTCTGTCAAGTCTTCCATGACTAGCTGTGGGAAACTCCCAAGCCTTGACTAGGGGTGTCTGGGATTACCCCCTCCCTAGCACTGACTCCCAGCTGTGCAGACTGCGTGTCCCCCTAGAGTGGTCCCCTCTGTGTTGAGTGGCTGTGAGTTTGCTTCTGAATTCTGAGGGCTTCAGATTGACCATTATTGTCCCCGAGGTGGGACACTATGGCTCTTCCTCCAGCTAGGCCCTAGCCAGTCTTGGCGTCCACAGTGACCACCCTGGGGAATCAGGCTACTTTGGGTCAAGGCTGGTTGCTGGCTCTCCCAGACCTTCCTCAGAAGTCCAGTCACCCATTGGAGATGCCTGTTCATACATGTGTGAGGTGTTCTGTGTCTGAGCAACCAGGACCTCCCACACCATCGGGGGCATCATCCACAGGCACCTCTGTCCCTGTCATGCTGCCCCATCTGCTGGGGCTCCCCAAAGACAAGAGGCTCTCTGACACCCCCTCACAGCCAGCACAGCCCTGTGTGGATGGAGAGTCCTGGCAGGGCCCAGTGAAAAGTAGGGTCTGAGGGACCTGGCCCATTTCTAAGCTAGGCCGGGGGCTCCTTGGCCATCAGAGCTCAGGTGTACAGCACAGAGGCCCCAGCCACTACCTTGGGCCCAGGCACTGAGGCTCTGGCTACCTGTGGGAGTGGATCCCTGGCTGTCCCTGACCCAGCTCAGACTGAGTGTTAACTCACTCCATCCTTCACCACCCTGGCCGAGGCCTGGATTATGGAGAAGGCTGGGCCTGGTGGTCACCTGCAGGGAGTCTGCCGAGAGCCAGGGCCCCACCCTCAACACGGGTCTCTATCACCTGCTCAGAACGGGGTAGGACTCAGTGCATGTGGACGGTTTGTGAAGCTGGGCAAGAAGCTTAGCCAACAGAGCTGCGTGGGATTTGGGACCTGTCCTTGGTGGCCCTGTCTTGTCTCCTGAGTCCGTCTGCATGACCAGAAGGCTGGGCACTTGTCCACTCCCCCTCTTATGTGGCCATTCTGTCCTCCAGCTTTTCCCAGGAGAGGGCACAGGCCAGGTACTGCTCAGGGGCCCAGTGTGAGTGCCCAGGTGTTTCAGGTGGGAGGGGCTCATCTGTCCCAGGGCGTCCTGGGCTAGACTATGGCTCCACACCTCAGGGAGCACCCGTGCTGCTTCCAGGAGCTTGGCTGGGTTCCCGTGTGTGTGTGTGTGTGTGTGTGTGTGTGTGTGTGTGTGTGCATGTACGTGTCCATGGGTGCTTGTGTATGTGCATGTGGGGCTGACTGCCAGGCCCGCCTCACCCTCAGCCCTGCCTGCCTGTTTGCAGGTTCTTTGAGGACCTGGAGCAGCGGCACAAGGCCCAGGTGCTGGTGGAGGACATCAGCGACATCCTGGAGGTGCACGCCGAGCAGCACTTCCACCCCTACGTGGCCTACTGCTCCAACGAGGTGTACCAGCAGCGCACCCTGCAGAGGCTGACGTGAGTGGCCCTCCGGGGGTCCCAGGCATCCTGGGCTTGGGAGAACACTGCACTTGTCCCAGAGTACATTTCCCACTCACAGCCCGCCTGCTGTGCAGCCGGCCTCGTGCAGCCTGGCAGGACAGCCTGTCCTCTGTTGCAGGAGCAGCAGTGCCACCTTCCGCGAGGTCCTACGGGAGATCGAGAGGCGGCCCGCGTGTGGGGGCTTGCCCATGATCTCCTTCCTCATCCTGCCCATGCAGAGGGTGACCCGGCTGCCCCTCCTGACGGATGTGAGTACGCGACCGGGTGGCCTGGGCAGGATAGCTGCCTTCAGGGGGCCGCCCTCAGTGTGGCATCACTCCCACGCTGTCTCTGACACTTAACAGTCACAAGTGTAAAACAGCTTAATACCCAGTGTGACTTGGGTGCTGCCACCCATGCAGCACGGGTGCCAGGCTGTGTCCCACACTTTGTGAGTTTTTGTTCACTAACCCGACAGCTCAGGGGTTTCACTCACAGAGATGAGCGTCACCCAGAGCCCTGCCAAGCCTCCCTCCCCAACCTTCCCTGCCAGTACTGAGCACATGCGCAGAGACCTCAGGGCATCTGTCACTGTGCCTGTTTCTTCAATAGAGAAAGGGCCTTGGGGGATTCACACTGTGGTCTGTGTCTCTGAGATGCCAAGGCAGAGGGCGTATGGGGGTGAGGGCACATACTCATGCACACATAGGCCTATGCACGCACATGTAAGCACATGACATAAGCACACAATGAGCCTGCACACACAGGTACACACCACCTGTACACACACGGTAGGACTGAGCTCAGCCATCAGAGGCTACACGGAGCAGGTGCTCTGTGGCTGCCCAAGCTGGATGGAACCTTAGACCTCCCGGGGGTACCCGGGACCTGCAGAAATGGGGCTGCACAAGGGACCCCCACTGACCGTCTCCAAGCTGGATGAGACAGCTCAGGGTGGGCGGGGCTAGGGCCCCATTCCCATTCCACCTGGCCTGAGCTGGCAGAGCCCTGGGTGGCATGGAGGCTATCCAGGGGCCAGGTGCACCAGTGAGGCCAGCTCTGGACCACTCTGGGAGCCCCACCCAGGGCCTGGTGTTGGTGGGGAGCTTTGTGCAGCTGCTATACCTGGGGTGCGTGAGGGGACCTGGAGCCTCACATCTGCTGTCCTTTCCAGACACTCTGCCTCAAGTCCCAAGGCCACCCTGAGAGGTATCAGGCTGCTAATCGTGCATTAAAGGCCATCAGCAAGGTGAGGGGTGTCCAGAGCAGAGGGTGCCCAGTTCCAGTATCTGAGCTCAGCATAGACCCTGGGGCAGAGAGGTTCCTGGATCTTCCATCCCAAACTTTTCATAGTACTGACAGGGAAACTGAGGTCCAGAACCAGTGGCATATTCACACAGTGCTGAACCCACAGCACGGCTGGGTGGGTGGGCTAGGTATGCTGGGGCCAGGGATAGGGAGGTGCCGTGGGTCCCGCAGCCTCAGAGCGCTCACGTGTGTGCTCACACGTAGCTGGTGAGACGGTGCAACCAGGGTGCCCACCAGATGGAGCGCACAGAGCAGATGTACACACTGCACACACAGCTGGACTTCGGCAAGGTGAAGGTAGGTAGCCGGGACTCAGGCCGCCTCTCCCCAGGCACCAGGCGACTCAGGCCGCCCCTCCCCAGGCACCAGGCGACTCAGGCCGCCCCTCCCCAGGCACCAGGTGACTCAGGCTGCCCCTCCCCAGGCACCAGGCAGCTCAGGCCACCCCTCCCCAGGCACCAGGTAACTCAGGCCCTTCTCAACCACTTCCCTCCCACTTTTCTGACTGTACTGCTTCTGAGTCCAGGGGTCACACCCCTCACGCCTGAGGGCTGGAGAGAGGCCTGGGGCCTGGGCCACACTTAGCCAGTGTGTTTTGCTCTCTCCAGGCCTGTTTTCCCGTCCGTGAGTGTCCCTTTGTGCACCCCTCCCCAGCTCCCACTTGGTGGGTGTCTCTGGCCTCACCCCCAGGATCACACAGGCAGAGAAGGCCCCAGGCCCTGAGTGACTGAGCAGAGGGACAGCAGGCTTGCCCTGGACCAGGACTCCTTGGTGGCTCATCCAGTGCTGGGAGAGATGGTCACTTCAGGGCCAGATCAGGTCTCAGGTTTCCCAGTGAGGCCTGGAGTCTGGGGCAGGAGCAACCTCCAGAGCCCCTCCCAAGCAGGCAGGATTCAGACCTCTGCCCCACAGAACAGCCCCTAAGATCCCACAGACTGACCCTGTCATTGTGTTGTCCAGGGGCTACCCCCAAAGGTGGCCCTGTTTGGGCCTCTTATTCTGGTGCCCTGTCCGTGTAGTGCTCTTTGCCTTTTCAGAGGTGCCCTACTTTGGGTGACATGTCGCAGGCCACCCTAGGTCAAGGGTGGAGCAACAGTGAAGGGTGTGGAGGTCCCACACGGCAAGGAGTCTCCTGGATGGGTCAGGGCAGGCTTCTGGAGGAGGTGTCAGGACCACCCACTGCTAGCACTGAACTCACACCCACGCAGGTTGCTCTCAACTTTCGGTTGGAGTATACCCCTGGTCAGAGCAAGGATCCCATCCTAGGCCTGGCTCACCCCTAAGTGGGGTGGGAAGAGCAGGCCCCTCTGGGTGGGGAAAGCGGCCCGAGGGAAGGAGGAGCTGGGAGTTCAGCATCAGGAGTGGGTATGGGGTGTCAAGACAGGCCATGTTGGAGCACAGGTGGCAGGTGGCCTTCCTCCACTCTTCTCCCCACAATGTGGCCCCAGGCCGGAGGTAATGTGTCTGTGAACTGGGGGTCAGGAAACGCCAGTGGATAGTGAAATGTGGGTGTTGTGAGCAGGCTGGCACTTCCCATCGTGCCCTGTCCCTCACAGGCGAAGGCACATGGGGGCATCCCCAGGCCTGGCCTTTGCCTCCTGGCTCAGATGGGACCTTCACAGTGCCAGTGAGCCGTGGGCATGGCTGGAGGTCCAAGTGGACTGTCCCAGGCAAGGTCTGGCCTGGGCCTTTATTCAAGGTCTGGACACATCACATCTCCTCCTTTGTGTGGCCCTGACCAGGGATGGCCGGCTGGTCACCCGTCCTTTCTGGGCCTCACTCAGCCCGCTCTGTCCTCCAGTCCCTCCCGCTCATCTCCGCCTCCCGCTGGCTGCTTAAGCGCGGGGAGGTCTTCCTGGTAGAAGAGACTGGACTTTTCCGGAAACTTGCCAGCCGGCCCACATACTATCTCTTCTTGTTCAACGATGTCCTGGTGGTGACCAAGAAAAAAAGGTGGGACCGCGTGGGGCTGGGGGGCGGTGGGCCCCTGAGCAGGCAGGAGTCCCCACCAACAGCTGTGTCCCCACAGCGAGGACAGCTACGTGGTCCAGGATTACGCTCAAATGGAGCACCTCCGGGTCCAGAAGATGGAGCCCTCAGAGCTGCCCCTGCTGGGGGGTGGCAACCGCAGCTCGTCCGTGCCCCACCCCTTCCAGGTGACGCTGCTGCACAACAGTGAGGGGCGCCAGGAGCAGTTCCTGCTGTACTCGGACTCTGCGTAAGGAGCTCCCAGGAGAGCTGTTTCTGGCACCTGCCGTGTGCCAGGCGTTGCTGTAGGGCTGGGGGCAGAGCCTTGTCTTGGGGGGGGGGGGAGAGTGTCATAGTCACTAGGGGAGGGTCATACACCAACAGCTGAACCACCAGATGCCCAGTGTGTCAGAGGCAGGGGGTCATGGGAGGGAAGGTGTGGCCCGGGCCACTGAGGACAGACTCTGCCCCCAGACCCATGAAGGGTGTAAGGCAGGGGTGAGGGAAACCCAGCAGGGCCCTGAGGCAGAGTCCTGAGGACGGATGGCTGGTGAGTGGACAGCAAGACTGGAGTGTGATGAGTTGAGACAGTGGGGACCCCAGTGGAAGAAGAGTGAAGGTGTATCAGTCTCCACATTCCCTCCAAGCTCCCTTTGACCAGGCAGTGCTGGGCCCTCTTTCCAGACTAGGAAGCTGGGAGCAAGCTGGGGTCTGGGCTGTGGCTGCCCCTGATCAGTGACCCAGGGCAGGGGTGACCTGGGCTCAGCCCGCCTGGGGTAGGGTCGGGCCAGCAGCCCACCCACCTCCTTGCCACAACCCTGGGGCTGATATCTGAAGGACCACCAGGGTGGAGAGCCAGGCTCGGGGCCTGTCCCTCACTCATGCTTCCCCTGGCCCCCAGGAGTGACCGGGCCCGGTGGATAATGGCGCTCACGTACGGGGAGAGACAGGGGCAAGGCCCTACCAACAAGGGAGGTGAGTGGCAGGTGGGGATCCCTGCGTGTGCCCAGCTGTGCCTCAGTGATCACCCAGGCCCTCCCTATAGCCAGGAGAGGACACTCCTGTACCCAGCATCTGGGGAAACTGAGGCCACAGGGGTGGATGTGGGGGAGGAGTGGCCTCTGCCGGCACTGTACACTTTGGCCCCCAAAACAGGAGCACTGTCCTGTGGCCTCTGGAGGGGCGCCTGATTTAGCTCAAGGGAAGCTGCCACCTGTCCTTGTGCTAGACACCTGGCTGGCCCTGGGACCATGTCTGCTGGGAGCCCCAGGGGCTGCAGAGGGCACTGGCCCCGCCCTCCCAGATAGCCCTGTTGCTGACACCTGCTGCCCCCACAGACCTGCCCCAGGTGGAGGTCACCAAGGCCTTCTTCGCAAAGCAAGCAGATGAGCTCACACTGCAGCAGGCAGACGTGGTCCTGGTGCTGCATCAGGAGGACGGTGAGTGGGGTGGGAGCAGCTGTCTTGAAGGGCCGGGGAAAAGGTCTGGGTCCGGAGCAGCAGAGAGGCAGGCTAGCTGGCATGAGCTCATGGATTTCTTCAAGGGCATACTGTCCCTGCCTGGTTGCAGGACTAAAAGTGGGCTCTCTGTCATCTGTATCTGGGTCGAGGAGGAGAAGGTCTCTCCTAGGGGTCCCCAAGCCCCATGCATGGGGCAGGAGGGGCTGCTTTCTTGAGGGGTGAAGCTAGGGGGGTTCAAAGCCTCACCAGTTCCTCCTCTGATACCGAGTGCCTGAGGGAGGATGAGATGCCCAAGTGATCCCTCTGTGAGCAGAGGGACAGCAGTCTGTCCTCAGAGACGTATGGCTCTGGCATCTCTGGAACAGCAGCACAAAGAGTCTTGGGTGACCCTCTTCTCTCACCTCCGTCCCCCTCTGTCTCGGTCCAGGGTGGCTCTATGGTGAGAGGCTTCGGGACGGAGAGACAGGCTGGTTCCCTGAAGACTTTGCCCGCTTCATCACCAGCCGCATGGCTGTGGAGGGCAACGTACGCCGGATGGAGCGTCTGCGGGTGGAGACGGATGTGTAGCCCGGTCACAAGGATCTGGAGAGGCCAGTCTGTGGCAGGTGTGGCCACAGTCCTCCTACCAGCAAGTAGTGTGCCGGGCTCCAAGGAGTGCAGTGGCTTGTCCCAAGGGCCCTGAACGCTTCTGTGGGTCTTCTCAAGGCCCTGTGACTGCTGCCCTGAGCTCTGGACGCTTGACAGAAAGATCAGTCTTGTTCCTGGGGAAGCATCCGCCAGGAAAGCTCAAGGGGGCTGTGCCAAGTCCTGGGAGGGGCCCAGCCCCTCCCCCAGCTCTGGTCCCTACACCCCCACCCCCTGCACCCACACGGCAGTGGCAGCCAGGATGACAGTGATGAGGATAGCCACTGCTGCCAGCATGGACAGCATGGGGGTCCCTCCTGGGCCCCATACCCCTGGTGAGACAGGAGGGCCTCCAGTGACCATGATGCCCCATGTTCTGAGAGGAGGCAGCTGGAGAGGAGTGGCCCTGCGGTGCCAGCAAGGAGGTTTCCGACTCATTAAAGAATTTTCCTAATGCCTGCATTTCCACAGGAATCAGCCTGGGCAGAGTGCACATCCACACACTTCCCAGTGAGTTACCCAGGTACCACGGGTCATACCTGGTCACTGCATATTTGTCCTTGCTCTGACCTACCCGTTCACTGGCTGGAACATTGTGGGCTAGGTCGGAAGCTCCTGAACTTATACTGAGAGCCCAGGGGTGGCCACAGCTGGGCTTTAAAGGGTGCAACTGCCAGTGCACTGAGATTCTGGGACTCAGCAGAATCTGCAGGGATTCCTCGGGGTGTCCTGGGGCTGGGGGCAGCCTCCCCTCCCTCCCAACCTCTCCTTCTGGGACCTGCAGGTGGGAGAGGCAGCCTCTGAGCCGGCCTAGGCTGGGTGTGGTGGGAGGAGGATGCTGCCTGCCCTCCCAGGGAGCCCCCGCCAGCCCTCCTGTGTCCTTGCTGATGCTGTCATCACCCTTCTCAGCTTGTGCAGTGCCCTCACTGGGTGGGGGGGTCCAGTTTGCCTGAGACTCTGCCCTCGTCCCATAGCCCCTGGCTTCTGTATGAACGTCAGGGCTGTGGCTCTCCTGGGCGCAAACCGGGATGGTGGGCTGGGGGCCGTCCTCTGCCCCTCCCAGCCCAGGGGCAGCTACAGGCCCAGATGGTGAAGATTCTGCATGGGGAAGGGTGGCCACTTCACTTCAGTGGCCTCCGTTGCATCTGTGGTGCAGGATGGACCTGGGCAGGGGCTTTGGTCAATGGTGGCTGCAGCTTTCCCACCTGTGAACTGAGTCAACTCCCTGTTCTCTTTCAGGAGCTGTGAGAGGGCACGCTGGCCGCAGAGGCAGGGAGAGGGTGTGTGTGCAGGTGCGGGGCAGGCTCAGCCCAGGTTGCAGCCCTGAGTGGCCCAGGTGCTGTGACCCCCCCTCCACAGGATAGGGCCAGCTGGGACTGTCAGCTCCCCTCTGCAGTGAGACTGCCTGGCCCAGAGACCATTCTGCTGCTTGCTGAGTCTTCTCTGAGCCCCTCAGATTGTTTTGGGACCTGGCTCACACTTCCCTGCCCCCAGGTAATGGGTCTGTGGCTCTGCTGTGACAGCTCACTGGGGAGAGGTCTCAGGGGCTGGGACTACCTAGCCCAGCCCCTCCTGTCCAGCTACACAGCCCAGGCAGGTCCTCAGCTGCACAGACCCACCAGCTTCAGGTAGGGAAACAGGCCCAAAGACCCTCTGCTGGTTGCTAGGGTCAGTGGGCTTGCAGGGGACTGTCAGGCTTCTAAAGACACTAGTCTACCCCAGGAAGGCTGTGCCCAGGAGTAGTGCAGGGGCCCTGAAACCTGAAGCACCCGGTGTCCTGGCCTACCCCACAGGGGCCTGTCAGCCTCACATGGGCACTGTGAAGGCCGTGCACGTGCAGAGCAGTGGGGGATTACACCTGAGCCCCTTCCTCAGGGCCACCCTGGAGGACTGTGGGCCTTCATCTCCGCACACCTCAGTGCCCATTCCTGATTGGGCACAGAGTGGACGCTGATGGGTCCAGACAGCCTGCCTGGGGAGGTAGCAGGGGGAGGCAGCAGGGGGAGGCATGTGGTTGTGGGAGCACGGAATCCAGGCATAAGCAGCCACATCAGATGGACCAGACTCGACAGACCCGGACCCTTTGTCCAGGGGCACCCAGGTACCCATCCCCTCTGCCTGCCTCCCTTTGTGCCGTGTGTGTCCTGAGCCCATGAGCGTCCAGGCGCACTAGTGTCCTTTTGTGGGGAGAGGTAACTAACATAACCGATATGCCTGCATGTGACCTCACTCATCTTTCTCATCTCCCGCAACACCATCCCAGCACATCTGGCTGGGCGTTTCCAACCACTGACACAGTGCGGGGCACACACCATCCTCGGTGGCTGGCAGAGGCACCAGCCAGGCCCTGGGCAGTACGTGCACCCAGTGCACCCCTGAGAACTGTTCCTGGAAGACCCCAGAGATGCCTGAGAGGCTCCTCGCCTCCCCAGTGTTCACTTAGCGCCCTCGACACCCCTGCTTTCCGCATGGTGGGAGTAAAGCCACATGCCACTGCCAGGACCTGCAGGCCTCTGGTCTTCCCAAGACACCTTCTCCATATGCTTCTGGCCATTGGGTTTCTGCGAATTCTGCCCCAGTCCTTATCTCTGTCCCTGCTTGTTCATCCTTGATACGCCCATCATCGCTGGGCCTTCTGTGCAGCAGACTGGAATTACATCCGATTTGAGGGTTGGGGGTGACATCTGTCTTCCCATTGTTCTTGTTTGTTTGGGACTTTTAGGTCTTTAAAAACTGTACTGGACATGTTTAAAAAACCAGGAAATTCTTTTGCAGATAAATTGTGTCTTTGTGGGTTTCGTTGTGCTGAATGGGAACTTGATTTGCACTGCTTTCTAGTTGGTGATTGCTGGTACTGAAGAACTGATTTTTATAGGTTTTATAAATGTTACACGTTTTATGTGAGTAACAGGATTTTATCATTAATCTTGCTGAATTTGTATTAACTATAACAATCTGAGTATTGACTCTTTAGGGAGCAGATGATTCTGTCCCTACACTCAGGCAGGTTCCCCTCCTGTCCCCCAATCCCGCAGCTCCATCCTCTTTCTGTCTGGGCTGTGAGCTCTGCTGGGAGGCAGGGGCGCAGGACAGCGCAGACTTCTAATTCAGATCCTCTGCCCTTATGTGAGTTTATTCACTCATTGGATAACGCTTTCCGTGCACAGAACCTTAGGGCCGTGCAGAGCTTCAGCACTGAGGTGACATGGGACCCGACAGTGGTCCCCTCAGTGAGCACGACAGCTGTCTGGGGTGGCGTTGTTTGGACAGACCTGAATTCTCTTTAGTTTCTTGTCTAAACATGATGTTTGGATGTAACTGTTGCCAAGAAGGTTCCTGTCTGTACCCAGCTTTCCAAGAACTTCTATCCCCTACTGTGCTGACCTCCAGGAAATGCTCTGTGTCTATACAGTCATGTGGTCTCACACTCAAATGTGGGTATACGGATGCATCTTCTGAGGTTAAGCTGTCCTTGCATCCAAGCAAGTCTATTCCCATTTGGGCAGGCTAATACTGTTTTTAAAATACTCCTATTTAGATAGCTAATATTTTATCCAGGGTTTATCGCACATATGGAATCAGTACTGTTCTACCTGCTTTAGCATTGTGGGCTGAGGTGGGCTGCCTGTCCTCTATTTAGAGTGTCTGAGACAAGTCTTATTTGATAAGTTGATGGTGTCCTGAGAGGTGCATGCAGAGTCCCCGTGCCAGGGACTACCAGGGCCAGCCTGTCAGATCTTCAGGCTCACCTGAGCTGCTGGGTCACTCATGTTTTTTACCTCTACTTACACCAGGCCTGGCATGTATTTTTCTCCCCAGATTTATCCATTTTTCTGTTTCCAAAATTACTGGTACGTAGTTCGTAATATTCTTCTTTTACATCTTATTCTCTGTTGTGCCTGCAGTTAATTCTCCCTCTTTGTGCATTTTCTCATTTCATGTTTAAAAAGTCCTCAGTCTTGATACTTTTTTCTTCCTTATGAGACTTCAAAGAGGGAAATTTTAATGTCCTTACATATTCTTTTTCCATTTTCTGAATGTAGTTTTTATAGACGTGAATATAAACGTGTATTATGTTAATATAGTAAATGTCTAACTACCATAAACAGAAATACATACACACCACATGTGTTAAAGCTTATTCACGGCTTATCATTGCTATGTTCTTTGCTCACCGTTGGTTTCAGTAAAGAGCATGTTAAAATCTCCGGTTGTCATTCTTTCTTTCCACCTGTTCTAGCCATCGTCACTCTGTGAACTTTTAAGCCTTGTTCTGTACAGATGTGCATATGTATTTATGGACAGTCAGACGCTTCTCTCCTTGAAATGTTAACCCCACCTGTGGCTGCCTGTGATTTACTCCGCTTGTTCATATTTCTGCCCTTGGAGTGTGTCTGCTGCAGTCAAGATCTGCTGTCTGTCATTGTTAGTGTAGTCTAGGAATCTGTTTTCACAATTGTAACCTTTTACGTTGGGTTTGTGAGCCTGCTTTCTTTGTACTCTGCTTTATTTTCTCCCTCCCCTGCCCTCATTGGATAGACAGAATTTCCTGGGGATGCTTTAAATGGTCAGCATCCTGTCAGCACTCCCACCAAGGTCACCATCTGTTCTGATACTTCTGCCCACGGCCTTCTGTGGCCTCATTCTCCTCCTGCTGGAGAACTTTCCATAGGAGCATTTTCAAATCAGGTTGGTGTGGGGAACCTACCAAGGCCTGGGAGGCCCAGGAATGATGTTGACTTTGTGTGTCAGTGACACTTAGCTGGATGTGAAGTTCAGGTTTCAAACTTCTTCCACACTTTGAAGCTAGGGCACCTCTAAGCTTTCGGTGTTTCTCTCTCAAAACATCTAATGTCCATCTGACTCCCATTCTTGTTTTTTTCTCTGGGCACCTTGGAATTTCTCTTTGCAATTGACATTCTCAAAGTTCTTTAGACTGCAGCTTGTTTTTATATTTGTACTTGAGCCCTTTGCTCTGAGATCATTCACCTTCAGAGCTGTGAACGTGGGTTTGTCCTTGCTTCCTGGGCTTCTGCTGGACAGATGCTGACTGACACCTCCCTTCTCCACGCCACTGGCCTTTCTGTGGTGCTCCCTCCTTACCCCTCCCTGCGGCTTCCTGGGAGGATGTCCTGAGCCGGAAGCTGTTTCTGTCCCTTCAGTCACCCCACCTGTGCCTCCTCCGTGCCCAGTCCTCCCTCCTCCCACTGCCATTGCTCATTGCTGGATTTGTGCTAAGGCCCGTTAGTTTGGCGTCCTCTGCTGCAGGCCACTCCTTTGCAGTCTGTCTGAGGTGATAGAGCTCCTCGGAATCCTCCTTCTCTGTCCCGGGTGTTGGCTACCTTGCCTGGTATTGGAGGGGAGCTTTCTTCAGGTGAGAGGAGGGCAGGTTCAGGGTAGAGAACGGACTCAATTATAGTCTGGGGGCCAACATCACCCGCCACCTGCCCTCCCACCTCTGCTCTGGGCACCACCCTTTTCCCAAGCAACATCCCTCCCACACCATGCCCTCGGGATGACTGGCCCCTGTGACCTTGGTCACCCCTCCCCGCTGCTAATGATGATGGGGGGCAGAGGGGAGCACAGCTGAGCTTGGCCTTGACTCAGGCTGCACCCTCCACATTTGCCTTGCCATTCTGCTGTCCCCTGGAACCATCCACTTTCTGGGTCTCAGAGCATCTCAGCCATTATGGGAACTTTCTGCAGCCCCCATATTCTCCTCTGGAGCACCCTCATCCCTGGGAAAGGCTGGGCACCTGTCTGGGCCTCCGCGGTTTGGGGCAGGTTCCTGTCCAGCCCTGCACCCACTGGGCAGGAGTAAAGCACAGACATAGGCTTCAAGGAAGCTCCTGCTCCATTAACGGACTGGGTTTTACATGACACCTGAGCCTGCTGCCTGGAGACCCCCTCAGGGTCCCACAGATCTGAGTCAGTCAGAGCTTCCTGGGACGTGGCCAGCATGTGCCACTGCCCATAAATACTTTTAACATAAATATGGCCGGCTGTATTTCCAGGTGCACAGCTCAGCTGCAGCAGCCCAGGGCCTAGCACCAGAAGAAACTGTTGGAGGGTGGCAGCCCAGGCCTGCCCTCATACTTGCCCTCAGTCTGGGGCTGCAGGGAGGACAGGGTGTCCTCAGCACACCGATGCCCAGTGTGGCTGAAGGTGGTCCATTCGCCAGGGTCCCACAGAGCCAGGCAGGGCAGGGCAGGGCCACTCTGCCCAAGGGCATGACCTTCCCAGAGTGAGAGGCCTCACAGTTGTCCACAGAGAAAGAAGGGTAGGGCCAGAAGTCCTGGGCCCAGACACTGTCTCTCCTTAGTCACCACCAAAGGCCCAGGTTCCTTCAGGCTGCACCTTGGAAAGTGGGGCCCCCGGGGGCCATCCCTGAGCTAGGGCTCTGCTGCCCTGCTGCTGCGCACGGGTCTGTTGGAGGCGGGAAGGCCGGTTGCTGGGCAGAAAAAAGCTTGTCAGGCCAAGGTGTGGGGTACTGGGCTAACGTCTCCCTCTCCCCCATGCTCTTCCCCCCAGCAGGGACACCCAGTGGAGTGGTGAGCTGCCCACCCCATCTTCCTCACTTTGGCCCCAGGCCTTGACTCTGAGGTCCAGACTCTGGAGATCCCAGGGCAGTGGGAACACCCACTGTGCTGGGGGCCGAAGTTACATCCACTTTGCCTTAAAGCTACCCTCGGGCATGCCCAGGAGCACCCCCATCCCTTACCTGGGCCCTGGGGTGGGGACAGGCTTTCAGGCAGCTGGGGGGGCCCACCTGGAGGTCAGACAGCAGCCATGTGAGGGCCCCACGTGAGGACGAAACAGTAATGGGGCAGCAAGGCGTGGCCCCACCCAAGCCTGTGGGGACCCCCACGTTCCCCCAGCAGAGCCTCCTCCCCACCTCACTCCCTTGTCAGGGTGGGGCCCCCCCACCGCCTCCCCCTCCCAGCCCTTCCATCCCTACACCCTGCAGCATGAAGAGAGAGGCTTCACCCAGGCCAACCCAGGTCCACCCCAGGGCAGGGGCAGAGCCTCGGACTCCAAATGGCCAGTGAGGCCCTGCCCGTGGGGGCATCAACTCCCAAGACCACCAGCTGAATGTCAAGGCACTGTCCCCTCACGTTCCTGTCCAGGGATTCCCCACGGCTGTGGTGCAGTACCACAGATGACCACAAGATGCCACTGTGGGCAGCGCTATGTCCCTACCCTGCCTCACCAGGCCCCCTCCAGGGACCTAGGAGGTCTCAGGCTTTACGGCCTGCATGGGACGCCCTGAGAGGCTCAGAAAGATGCACCCTCTACACAGCATCAAACTATATTTGGGACCCCCCAGGCCGAGGACTCTAAGTCTGGCCTCTCACCTTTCCTCCACCAAACACCCTGCCTTCCCAGCACCCAGGAGCCGGGAGACGCCAGCCAGGCCCAAGCTGGCCAGAGGGGTGGGGGCAGACCCAAATTCTGCGTGTGGACAGAGGACATGTTCCAGCAGACTCTCAGGAGGATTAGGGGCCACCTCCATGCACGTGCTGAGCACACACACAGCTGTGCTGGAGCACGTACGTGTGCCAGGCACAGACCAGATACGTGCGCGGCACATACCAACACGCCAGCCACTGTCTCACAGACACAAGCTGGCAATGCGCTCACAGGGAGGGTCAGCTCAGTGCCTGTCCGCACTGGGGACCATCCAGCCCTGGCCACAGGGTCGCAGCCTGCCCTTGCAGCCATCTGGGCTGGGGAAGGAGCCGTGATGCTGCCACTGCACCCAGCAGAGTCGGGCACTGTGGGTGCCGGGCAGGGACAGCTGACACTCTGGTCAGGGCGGCCCAGCCAGCTGTGCAGTGGGGGAGGGAGAGTGTCCTTCCATCCCTACCCAGGGAGCCCAACTCACCTTCCTGACACATGGGCCCCGTGTAACCATCCACACAGCGGCACTGCCCGCTGACAGGGTCACAGTCGGCCCCACCCCCACAATCACAGCGCAGGGCACAGCCAGGCCCAAAATGGCCCCTTCTGCAATCTGTAGGGGCGGGAGGGGCAGAGAGACCTCAGCATGATCCCTGGTACCATCAACAGAGAACCCTCGTGGGATGAGGCCCTCTGTGTGAGGGGGTGCCTCAGTTTCCTCTAAGGGGTAGGACAGCCCCTGAGCTCCTATGTAGGAACACCTGGCCCTAGGTGGACAAAGGGGAGCCTAGAGGTCAGAGTGCTCCCCTCAGGGCACAACAGACCCAAGAGCCCAGGGGAGGCCAGGGTGCATTCCTAGCAGGACAGCCCCCCATATTCTCAGGCAGCCACAGCCCCTCAGTACCCCCCACTGTGGCAGATCAAGGGAGCCTTCCCAGCTCACTGGGACTCCTCCTGTGACCCTGGCCCCAGCCCTGGGCCTGACAGCTCCAGCAGGGGCTCCCTGCCTGGCACCACCTATCCCAGCAGCTGGGGTACAGTGCCTGTAGGACGGCAAGGGGCTCAGGCCAAGGACAGACATAGCTTGTGCTCAACCAATCCATGTTTGCTACTGATGGAGACCAACCCTGTGCCCCACTCCTGGGCAGGACCCCAGACTTACCCAAGCTACACGTGGCTCCTGAGCGCCCAGGTGGACAAAGGCAGAGGCCAGTGATGGGGTCACAGGGTGCCCCCCCATCACAGGCACACTGCTGACGACAGCCCTCTCCAAATGAACCCAGCTCACAACCTAGTGGGGACAGTGGGCTCAGTATCCTCCTGTCCTGTACCAGGACTGGACAGGGCCAGAGATAGGGGCCAGGGGGCCATGGAGGTATGAAGCACTCACCCCTCTCACAGAACTGGCCCTGGAAGCCGGCAGGGCAAAGACACCGGCCGCTGGTGGGGTCACAGGTAGCTCCGTGTTGACACTCACATACCCTCTGGCAGCCAGCCCCATGGAAGCCGGGGGGACAAGCTGAAGGAAGACCCCAGTGAGAGCAAGCCCAGGGTACAAGGCAACAGAAATGTCCAGTTTGCTCTGAGCAAATGCCTGAGGGACCCGTGAGCAGCCTGCCCCTGGGCATCCTCACTCCTCCCCCAGCCCAGGCCATCACTTCATTGTGAAGCCCAGGCCTGCCCAATGCCCACGTGGCTAGAGTGGATAGCCATGTCCAGCCCTGCCCAGCAGGAGTTCCAGCCACAACTCACAGTGCTCGCAGGCCTGGCCGTAAAAGCCAGGGCTGCAGCGGCAAGCACCCGTTGTGGCCTCACAGGTACTGTTGTTATGGCAGGAACATTCCAGGCGGCAGTCGGCACCATAGTGTCCAGAGGGGCAAGCTGGGGAGAGAGCAGACAGAATGGACAAAAAGTATGGTCCCTTAGGTACCAACCTGATTCAGGTGACCCCAGAAACCTCACTCAACCCTACAATAGCCCAGAGCCTCCCACAAAGCCCCCCACCCCCTGCACCTTCTTTGGGAGCCCACAGCCACTCCCTCCCATCCAGCCAACATGAAGACAGGGACACTGAGGTCCCTCTGCCCCTAATACTCACCTAGCTCACAGTGGGGCCCTGTCCAGCCCAGGCCACAGGAACAGCTGCCATTGGTGGTGTGGCACAGGCCCCCGTTTCTGCAGGAGCACACTTGCTCACAGCCCACACCAAACCGGTTTGGGGGGCAGTCTGGAGGACAGAAGGTAGGTGCTGCTCTGGCCCAAGTCTGGACACTCTCTGGGGACAGCCTCAGAGGTGGACAGTCATTCAAGAGACACTCCATGCCAGCCCCTAGCCTCAAGCACACATGTGGCAGGGAGCATCCCCAGCCACCTGCCCATTCGCTTGTCATCTCAGACAAAAAACACCCAGCCTTCTCTGGATGCCTAGGATGACTCATTGGTAAAGGGGTGACAGCCCAGCCTGCAGGGAGGGGTGTGGGGGGCTTTTTGGAGGTAGCACCAGGCACAGGCCCACCTCAAGCCTAGGGACAAATGCACAACCTCCAGGCCAGAGGAGCAATGTGGCTGGGCTGTGTCACAGCCTCCCCAGGCGGGAGGAGGGCCCAGGCCATGTCCCAGCTGCCACAGGCTCTCACAGAGCTCCCAGTGCAAAACACAGGTCAGGGGTGGGCCTCAACAAGGACTAGGGTTGGTAGGCCAGAAGACTGTGACTGTGTGGACAGGCCTGTTGTCATGAGGAGCCACCATGACTGTCCCTGTGTACCCCCCTTTCTCCACACAGGCCTATGCTTTAAGCCTCCTGGTCCCTGGGTATTCCTGACCCCTGGGCCTGGCAGAAAAGCCCAGAAGGATTCTCTTCTAAGGAAACACACCAGCCAGCAGGCTGGCTCTATCCTCAGCAGAAACAGTGCCTGATCCCTCCTGCTTGGGCCAGTGGGGCTCTGGGCTAGAGCCTGTAGCCCCATTGGACACAAGGACAGGTCCCCCACAGCCTGACCCTGGGGGCTCAGCCAGTCAAGACAGGGCTGGGGTGGTGTGGGACGATAAGTTTACTGGAACAGGGTGGTGTTGACTTCTCACTTCCCAGGGACACTTTGGGTAACCGATAGTGGCCACCAGTGTGAATGTGTCCCCCGGCCTGGTTCACCCCATCACCCTCCCCCATGGCTAATTGGGTGTCACCTCTGTGAAGGACCAGTGTGTCCCATCCCCCAGAGAGGACACTCACCTTGCTCACAGTGGATGCCTGCCCTCCCCGGGGGGCAGATGCAGGTGCCGGTCACAGGGTCACAGGCTGCCCTCTGCCCACACCTGCACACGTGGGCACAGTTTGGACCAGAGCGGCCCTGTGGACAGGCTGCCAGGGGAAAGCAGGTGAGAGTGGCACCTGTGGTGGGGCCCGACTGGCTCTCCCCTCTCCCTGCCAGGTCAACCCCCAAAATAGGGTGGGAGGGAGACCCTGTGTCTGCCCAGGCAGCTTCTGGGCCCTTGCCCCCCACCAGATCTCCCCTCTGCCCACAGACCCCGAGTGACTCACACCCACCCGCGCCAGCTCTGCTGGGTCCCAGACCAGGAAAGTCCCCACATGACTCAGGGGAAAGGACCTTTGTCAGTAGGATGCTGGGCCACAGCTGCAGCTGCCATGCTCGACTCAGAACAGCGGGGCTCACGCCCCTGGTGGATGTGGCCCAGGCCAGGCTGGGTGGGGGAGGTTGGGGGGAACCCTGGGGTCAGACAGACACCTCCCCCAAGGGCAGCAGGCCCTTCCTGCTATCCTGGCTCAGCCCAGCCTGGGACCAGGCCCAGCCGGAGGGAATAGAAAGGCCAGAGAGGTGGGCCCTAGTCAGGGGCCTAGTCTCCCCTGGGCTGGGTGGCAGAGCCTTGGCCACTCACTGAGGCTGCAGTTGGCCCCAAGGAACCCAGGGGGGCAGTGGCAGGCACCCGTAGCCCCGTGGCAGGAACCTCCGTTGAGACACCCACACCTCTGCTTACAGCCCGGCCCATAGTGCCCAGGCGGGCAACCTGTGGAAAGAAGGGCCAGCTGCTGGAGGCTGCAGACTTCCCCCCAGCACCTCTGAGTACAGTGTGGCAAGCCCCACACACCCCATGTTCCACCCCCCAGACAAGGGCCTTCCCAGGGGAGTTGGGGGCAGACATGGAGGTAGGACCCCCACCCCTGCGTGGGCATAGGCAGGACTCACGGTGCTGGCAGCCAGGGCCGTGGTAACCAGCAGTGCACACACAGGCCCCTGTGGCAGGGTGGCAGGCCTGGTTCTTCCCAGGACAATAGCACAGCTGCCCACAGTCCTCCCCAAAGGTGCCAGGCGGACAGGCTGGGTGCAAACAGGGCTGGTCAGTCCTAGCCCAGCCACAGAACAGACAGCCTCCCCCGAGTCCCCCAACCTGGGTGCCTCCTTGGGGACAGGGTGGTGTGGGGTGCACCCACCCTGCTCGCAGCCAGAACCAGTGAAGCCAGGTGGACAGCGACACTCCCCAGTGACGTGGTGGCAGGCAGCACCAGGGGGGCAGCGGCAGCGCTGGGCACAGGCCTCTCCGAACCAGCCCGATGGGCAGGCTGCAAGAAGACAGTTGGCTGGGGGAGTCTTCCCGGGAGGGGCTAAGGGGGACCCGTGGGCCAGGCAGGCCCAGGCTGTCCTGTGGGTGGCACCCACCCCTGCCTGGATAAGTAGTCCTAATGTGGGCTGAACTGGGGGCTGCACTCACCATTCTCACACTGCAAGCCCCTCCACCCTGGGGGGCAGAGGCAGGCCCCAGTGACGTGATGGCAGGGGGCCCCCCGCCGGCAGGCACAGTGCTCCTCACAGCGAAACCCAAAGGTGCCCTGTTCACAGGCTGCGGCGAAGGACACAGAGGGGCGGCTGAGAGCGGTGGCCCCAGGCTGGCCCCCACCCTCCAGACCAGCTTCCTGGGCTGAGGTCCTCTAGAAGGGGACCCTGGGCAGCTCAGACAGCAGCCCTGGACCCTACCAGACAACTGACCTGTCTGAGTCCTGCCCTGGGGTGAAGCTGAGGCCGCCCCTTGACAGCCTGGCAGGCCCTCCAGACCTCCCCTACTTTCCCTTCCACTCACGGTTCTGACACTTGTCCCCAGTCCAGCCAGCCGGGCAGAGGCAGCGGCCTGTGTGCTGGTCACACAGGCTCCCGTTGAAGCAGCTGCAGCCGTGCTGGCAGCTGGCCTCAAAGTTCCCAGGAAGGCACTCTGCAGGGACAGGGATAGTGTGAGAGCCCCGTCTCCCAGGTCAGGAGACTCTGGCCCACGCTTCCGGCACCCAAGGCCGTGGCCACACCCCAAGGTGCTGTCCCTGACCCAGGAGCCCCCCAAGCCAGAGGGTGAGCCTATGTGGCACTCTGTCACCCAGCACTCACCCTTCTCACAGGCCAGGCCAGCCCAGCCCTCTGGGCATGAGCAGTGTCCTGAGATGGGGTCACAGGTCCCTCCGTTTTGGCACAGGCAGGAATGTTGACAGTTCTCGCCATACAGGCCAGAGGGGCAGGCTGGGGCCGGAGAAGGAAGCAACCTACAGCACCCAGCCCGTGGGGTGTCCACAGGGTTCTGAGCATTTAGCCCCCCACAACTCAACATCAGATGCTGACTGCCTTAACTGACCTTCCCAGCCTGGGCTGGGGCACCACACTGAGGGGCATGGCCCTCAGTCCTAAGTATCCCCCCTCCTCTGCCCTCCCCCTCAGGTGCCCCAGGGGAGTGATAGGCCTGCCCCTCCCTGCCCATGGTTCCAGGTGTACCCTACATTCACCCTGGCACCCAGCCCCGGGCCCTAAATCCCTGACCAGGGCTTACCCTGCAGGCAGGTGGGCCCCATCCAGCCAGGGGCACAGTGGCAGTACCCGTGGACAGGGTCACAGGAGGCCCCATTGAAGCAGGTGCAGACCTGGCTGCAATTGTGCCCGTAGGTGAGGGCCGGGCAGGCTGCAAGTGGAGAGGTGTGATCAGGACCCAGGTTGCAGGGACCCCACAGGGCTGTGGCAGATCTCAGGTGACTGGGCAGATGCTCCCATTCCTCTGGCCTGGGCTACCCACTCAGCAGAATGGTCACCAATAGGGACCAATACTCTGGCTTAAGTGGGTTATCATTCAGTGTGGCTGCCCAGCAGCTTTGGGCACCCAGGACAGGTACCAGAAGCAAATCTCCCTCAGAGAACCTGACCGCCCCACCCCAGGAGCAAGACTCCCTTGGAGAACCTGGCCCCCCCTGCTGCAGCGCCCTGGTGAAGTGGGAACCTCACGCACTCTGGCTGCAGTGGGGGCCCCAGCGCCCAGTGGGACAGAGGCAGGAGCCGTTTGTGGCATCGCAGGTAGCCCCGGCAGAGCAGTTGCAGGTGCTCTGGCAGTCCAGGCCAAAGAAGCCAGCTGGGCAGCCTACGAGCAGAGGGGGTGGCAATGGGGAGAAGCCAGAGTTCCCCAGGACCCTGGCCCAGGCTTGAGGCCACCCAGCCCACCCCAGGCCTGCACCCTGGCTCACGGCGCTCGCAGAAGGTTCCCCTCCAGCCGGCCGGGCAGGTGCAGGCCCCGCTGACATGGTCACAGGCTGCTCCGTGCTGACACTGGCACCGTCGCTTACAGCCAGGCCCGAAGTGGCCCTGGGGACACCCTGAGACATGCACCCCAGCCCACCGTGAGACAAGGCCTTGCTCACAAAGAAGCCCCACCCCACCCAAGGGAAGCTGGGCTCACTCACATGCTGAGCAACGGGGATGGGAGGTCTGTGGGGGCCCCAGGCATCTCCTTTAAGGTTAGGGACCTCACCTGGGCTGCCTCTAGGACCACCTGCCCCCGGCCCAGGCCCAGCCCTAACCTACCAACCAATGTTGGGGGCATACTGAGGGGTGTAACCTTTGGTCATAACCAGCCCCCATCCTCTCCCCTCCCCCAGCTGCCAGGTACCCTGTGGGGTAAGATAAAGCCCCACTGCTCCAGGTGAGCCCATGTCTAGAACAGGTGGGTGAGAAGGTAGGCACTTGGTCTAGGCTGTGGAGGGGGCTGGGCAACCTCAAGTGGGCACAGGAAGGCAGGCCAGGGCCCCCAAGGCAGTGCCTGTGTGTATGTGAGCACGTGTGTGGGTACATGTGTGCCTGTGAGTACATGCATGTGTACACGCCTGAGTGCATGCGTATGAGTGTGCATGTGTGTGAGCATGTGTGTGGGTACATGTGTGCCTGTGAGTACATGCATGTGTACACGCCTGAGTGCATGCATATGAGTGTGCATGTGTGTGAGCATGTGTGTGAGCATGTGTGTGGGTGCATGTGAGTACACGTGTGCCTGTGAGTACATGCATGTGTACACGCCTGAGTGCATGTGTATGAGAGTGTGTGTGTGCATGTGTGTGAGCATGTGTGTGGGTGCATGTGAGTACATGTGTGCCTGTGAGTACATGCATCTGTACACACCTGAGTGCATGCATATGAGTGTGCATGTGTGCATGTGTGTGAGCATGTGTGTGGGTGCATGTGAGTACATGTGTGCCTGTGAGTACATGCATCTGTACACACCTGAGTGCATGTGTATGAGTGTGTGTGCATGTGAGCATGTGTGTGGGTACATGTGAGTACATGCATCTGTACACACCTGAGTGCATGTGTATGAGAGTGTGTGTGTGTATGTGAGCATGTGTGTGGGTACATGTGAGTACACGTGTGCCTGTGAGTACATGCATGTGTACACGCCTGAGTGCATGAGTGTGTGTGTGTGCATGTGAGTACATGTGTGCCTGTGAATGCATGTGGATATGAGTACATGCATGTGTACACGCCCGAGTGCATGCGTATGAGTGTGCATGTGCACATGTGTGTGCACCTGTGAATGCACATGCATAGCAGAGGCAGGGTGGGACTCACACTGCTCACACCGCGGGCCCGTATATCCGGCCTCACACAGGCACAGGCCACTGACGGGGTCGCAGCTCCCGTGGCTGGCACTGCAGTTGCAGGGGTATCTGCAGTCGGGGCCCCAGTGCCTGCTGTCACAAGCTGCAACAGAGCCCGGGTCACCACATGCAGGCCCCAAGTCAAGGCACAGGCATCTCAGATGGGGCAGGGCCTCCTGCTGCCCCAACCCTCCCAGGTCCTGGATGGGTGGTTCTTCAGGGGCTAGGGAGGGACAGCTAGACCAAGGGCAGGTGAGGGAGCCTTATACCTCGCTGGCAGCTGAGGCCGGTCCACCCAGAGGCACAGCTACAGAGTCCAGTGGCCGGGTGGCAGTACCCATCATTGGCACAGGAGCACCGCATCTGGCAGCCTGGACCAAACCAGCCCCCTGGGCATGCTGCGGGTGTGGAAAAGGGTAAGTGGGATCTTGGCTTTCCCATTTGGTCGCAGGCTCTGGTAGTTGAGGTGGGGGCCGAAGCCACACTCACCGTCCTGGCAGCGGCTGCCGACAAAGCCAGGTTGGCACAGGCAGGCTCCGGTCTCAGGGTCACAGCGGGCACCATGCTCACAGGCCGGGCAGATCTCTTGGCAACCGAGCCCCCAGCGGCCCTCGGGACAATCTAGTACCCACCCCCGTGGCCATCAGTCCCCCAGCTGCCCTTGCCAAACACGAATAAACATGTACCTAATATAGCACCCCACATCACTCAGCCCGGGAGGGACCCTGTGACCATCCCAACCTGCCTGGGGAGGGGAGGGCTGTGGGGTCAGCAGAACTCCTGGGCACCTCCTGCCTGCAGGCTTCAGGGTACCCACCCCAGAGAGAGAAGCTCCAGCCCTAGGACCAGCTCAACAGACGAAACAGGGAGCCCACTAGAGAGGCTGGGAGACCCCGGGTAGCCCAGCAGGGCCCCGGTGGGCCCCAGGCTCCAGGCAGACACACCTGGAGCTCTCAGAGCCCCTGTGGGTGGGCCTGTGATCTACAGGGCTGGGGCCAGGGCCCACAGTTCAGGTTAGAGTCCTGAGCTGCTCCCGCTGGGAGTGGTGCAACATGGGAGGGGCTGGGGAAGCCACCAAGACTCACCTGCCCCACAGTCCTCCCCTGTCTTCCCTGGTGGGCACAGACACTGCCCCGTGACTGGGTGGCAGGGGGCACCCTCACAGGAACAGGAGCCTGAGCAGTTCACTCCAAATGTCCCCACCGGGCACTCTGCAAGAGGAACAGGAAGGGCCTCAGTTAGGGTGCTGGGCAGCCTGCCGAGGGACTCCTGGCAAGCGTCGGGCTGCCGCTCCCACACAGCTCCAGTGTTAGCTCCAGTGGGGAACCCAGAGGACCAGGGCAGGTCACAGGAGCAGGCAGGGGAGGCAAAGCAAAGGCACAGCTGGGGGTGTGGGGCGCGAGGCCTAAGGGGATCAGTGTCCAGGACCCTGGAGAGTTCCCAGGAGCAGGCCACTAGTCTGGTCTTGGCCCATCTTCCTCCCAGCCTGATTGGCCCCTGGGACCTCTGTAGTCAGGCCAGCGTCCTCTGTCTGACCCATCTCCCACCTCCCCCAGCTGGGAGCACCTCAGGGACTCGGCCTCTGGGCTGTGGAAGGGTCCACATTCACCCCCTTTACCCCCAGAGCTCAGGCCTTTCCCTGCAGGACGGCACTGGGGTGTAGTGGGTGGGGCCTCCTAGAGGCTGGGGGGTCCCCACAACTCAGCAGGTATGGGCAACACCAGACACCTGGGTGAGCAGAGTGCAGAGGGAGGGGCCCTCAGGAGAGCCAGGCCCGCCCTGGAGAGGCCTCCAGTGGCCTAGCAGGCCCCCTGCACTGGCCCCCTCAGTGCCGGCCTTTGTCTTCTGCCCCAGGACAACAGAATGTTAGGCTGGGGGCGGGGGGGGGGGGGGGGGGGGGGCCCACTCTGGCAGAGAAAGCTTCCTGCCTGCCCCAGCAGCGTGGCCACCCTGTGGCCCATGAAACCCCTCCCTGGGCCCATGAAAGTGCCACAGCAGCCTGGAAAGGGTGGGCTTCGGGTCTGTGCTCCATGACAAAGGACCACAGAGCACTCTAGTCAGAACCCCCATGGTGGGGCTGAGACCTGGGGGCATCCTGACTTGGAGGAGGGCTGGCAGGCCAGGCACAGTCCCAGGCCAAGAGGCCTCTGGTGACAGAGCACACACCCTGGCAACCCTTGTCTTGAGCACCCATCCCCCTGGGTAACCACCCAGAGGGACACAGGCACGCCAACAGGGCTGGGGCCCAGGCACGGGCAGTGTGGACACCAGGCCTCAGGGAGCCCCTGTACAGCTGGAGTAGACCGGCATTCTGAGAGAGCACTAGTTTCCAGGCCTGAGGCCAAGCGGGGAGCCCCTTCTCTACAAGCACCATTTCCTGTGGCTCACCCTCAGGGCACTGGAGGCTTTTAAAGAAAAAAGGTAAATATAGAGAGGAAGTGGCAGGGAGGGATGGGGTGGAGGGCCAGCTTGAGGGGGTGGGGCGCTTCTCTGAGAGGCCTCCTGGCTGGGCCTTAACTAGGTGGGTCCTAGGCATAGGGGAAGGTGAGTGGCAAATGGCCACCAGCATGTGCCTCTGCTGTGCGTGTGTGTGTGTGTGTGTGTGAGAGAGAGAGAGCATGTGTGCATCTGTGAGCGTCTGTGAGCATGTGTGTCTGTGAGCATGCGTGCACATGGGTAACTTGTCTGTGAGCACTTGTCTATGTGCATGTGTGCTCACGTGTGCGTTTGTGAGAGAGAGAGAGCATGTGTGCATCTGTGAGCGTCTGTGAGCATGTGTGTGTCTATGAGCATGCGTGCACATGGGTGCTTGTCTGTGAACATGTGTGCTCACATGTGCGTTTCTGAGCATGTGTCTGTGAGCATGTGTGTGCATGAGTGCTTATCTGTAAGCATGTGTGCAGACGTGTGCATCTGTGAGTGTCTGTAAGCATGTATGTACATGGGTGCTTGTCTGTGAGCATGTGTGTCTATGTGCATGTGTGCTCACGTGTGCGTTTGTGAGCATGTGTGTGTGTCTGTAAGCATGTGTGTACACGTGTGCATCTGTGAGCACTTGTGTATGTGCATGTGTGATCACGTGTGCATCTGTGAGCACTTGTGTCTATGTGCCTGTATGCTCATATGTGCGTTTGTGAGCATGTGTGTGTGTCTGTAAGCATGTGTGTACACATGTGCAAGTATGTTGGGGGAGGGGTGGGTCAGGAGGAGGCTACGCTCTGAGCTGTGTGCTCCTTTAGCTGCCGTGATGCTCACACAGATGAGACCAGGCACGCAGTTGCTAAAGGCTGGCCTGAGACACGGGCCCACTGAGAAGCAGGAGTACCGGCCCAGCCTGCTCTGACCCTTGGGTGGCTGTGGCCAGCATGGCTTTTGACAGTTGGCTGGAGGGTCAGCCGCCACCTCTCTGAGGGCCCCTCCTTGCTCCCAGAAAGGGGATGGGAGGGAGGGGAAGGGCTGGAGGAGTTTGAACTGCCGGCCCCCTACCGCAGCCCCAAGGGAGACAGAGGAGGGGGACTGGCGCCTCTCGCGGCCCCCTCCAGCCTTCACTGTGGTCATGCGGTCAGGCTGCAGGCCCCCACAGCTTTCATCCATCAGGCCAATGGGTGTGGACAGTGTGCATGGTGCCAAGGGAGACTCTGACCTGCCCGGCCCCGCCGGCGGCGGCCACAGCGGCTCACTTACTCACGCCAAGGGCTTCTTTCCTGCCCCATGAGCCGATGACAACACTTAGGTATTTCCTAGCCTGGTCATGAGACTGAGGAATGGAAACGTCAGAGGCGTCTGTCCTGCAGCTCCAGACATCAGCAGCTCGGTCATTATTTGCTGGGCTGGGACTGCTCACCACTGTCCTAGTCATCACACCTCCAGCCAGTAGGCCGAGGAGCAGGGATGCGTCCTCTAGGCCACAGTACTCAGCTTCTTGGCAAAGTCCCCAGCCCACACACATGGGCTGTAAGCTGGTTGGGGTGGGTTCCCAGGACAGTCAGGCCTTCTCAGGACACCGAAGTGTGGACACTGCTGGTCCACCTCCTGTCTAGCTCCTAACGCTACCCCGTCCCCTGCTGCTCTGTGCCTGTCACACACCCCGAGCCACAGCACCTGCCTGTAGGGGCTTCAGTCACGGCCCCCTGCCAGCACCCTGCCCTAACTCTCACAGAAGGAGAAGGAATTGCTGCTCCATGGGCTCCCACATAAGGAAGGACACGCAGGTGACTGGCGGAGCAGCTACCCCTTCTCTGGGCCAGGCCATCGGCAGACAGACCAGCTTCTGCCCATGATAAGCCAGTCACACTAGGTTAGGAATACCACTGAGGCCAGACAGCGGAGCTGACCTCCAGCTCCACAGCCCTTCTGGGGCCTATCCCCCAGCACAGGCAGATGACCAAAATCCCACACCTAGACCACCAGGAGGCCCAGGGTCCGGCCACTCACCTTGGCCACAGTCCTCCCCCTGGAAGCCAGCAGGACACTGCTTCCCACACTCGCCGCTCACAGGGTCACAGGCCACACCGGGTGGGCAAGTGCATGCCTGCCGGCACTCCAGCCCAAAAGAACCTGGCTCACACACTGCAGGGAGTGGGAGAGGGGCCAAGGGTCAGCTGGGAGCTGCCCACACCTGCCCTCACCTGACACTGCTTGTCTCAAATCCCCCAGTCCTGCACTCACCCGCCTGACACCGCTCTCCCCGGAAGCCAGCCTTGCAGGAGCAGCTGCCGTCCCTCCTGTCACAGGACCTGGTGTGGGGCTGCACGCACTGACACTCCTCTGAGCAGCCTGGTCCGAAGGCCCAGGGCGGGCAGGCTGCACCCACAGAACTGTGAGGAAGGCCCTGCCTGCCGGTGGTACCCACCCCTCCCCAGCCTGGCCTCCACACTGCCCTGGGTCAGCAAGAGCTACAGAAAGAGAGAGGTCCCATGGCTGCCCCTCCCAGGCTTTTCATGAAGGGGCCGGACAGTCGAGCCCATTTCACGGAGAGCCAGGGTGACAGCAAAGCTCAGAGCCTGCCCCATCACACCCCTTCACAGCTGAGCACGTCAGCCTTCTCCTCCCTAAATAACCTCGTCACTACGTCAAGTAAAGTGCTGTCTTCAGGCCCTCTTCCCCTCTAGCCCTGTCCCCTTTTCTCCCAGCCCCAGGACTTGGCCTCCCTGCCAGGAATCTCCACAAGCCAGGATGAGGCCAGTACTAGAAGCTTCTGTGGGAGGTCTTCCCTGCCCTTGCCTACAGCCGCTGCCCCCCCCCCCGCCCCACTGGGGCTAGGAGGCACCATGCGGCTGGGGACCAGCGAGTCAGGAGAGAGGATGTGGCTCAGACCCACAGACCTGGGATAGTCACAAACCTGGGGTGGTCGCAGCCCCACAGCCCGGCTGGTGACCTCATGAGCCCTGCTGGTGACCTCATGAGCCCTGCTGTCCTCTCCCATCTGCACCATGGACACCCTCAGCCCTGCAGCCACCGCAGACCCTGGCAGGGCAGCAAGACTCACCAAGGTGGCAGAAGCGGCCGTAGAGCCCCGGGTCGCAGAGACAGGCCCCATAGAGGCGGTGGCATCGGCCCCGATTGGCACAGTGGCATTTCTTGTGACAGTGTTTGCCATAGAAGCCCTTGGGACAGCCTGGGTGAGAATGGGGCCCCAGGGAGAGCCTCAGTGGTGGCCAGCCCACCCCTACGTGCCCCACCTAATTAGCCCTTGGATGTGGTCGCCTGCCCAGTCCCCACATTCCCCCAGGGTCAGCAGCAAGGGCGGCAGCTGAGCACCTTCCTTGCACCTGGCCATCAGGAGTGCCCAGACCTCTGTACCACAATGGTTGCCAGAACTTGGGACCTCCAAGAAGATGGACGCCTGGCCCAGCTGCTCAGTGTCACAGGCCCAAGCCTCAGGCCACCGCAGGCCGGGAATGGCTCTCCCTAAACACTCCCCTCCTGCCCCGTGTTCTCTTACTAAGGGGCTGCAATGGGTTGAATGCTGGCCACCCCCAAACATGTCCCGATGCCCAGGATCTCAAGACAAGATCACCCTGCATTACCCAGGTGGGCCTTAAGTCCAGAGAGGCAGGTGGAGATATGAGACAGAGGGGGCAGGCACAGAGGCCAGGCGCAGGTGAAGTCAAGGTAGGCAGGAGGGACACAGCATCAGCTGAGGGACGTGGAGTCTGGGAACTAACTACATGGGGCCTGCCCTGGCCCTTGCCAGCGATTCACCTCCTTCAGCCCACCTGCACAGGCACATTGCAACTGTGGGGACTCTGGTGCCCCGCCCACAGGGCTCCTGGAGACCTGGGTCTCTGGGAAGCCATATGGGTACAGCAAGGAGAATCCTAAACCGCAGACCCTCTCCCTGGCAAAGCCCCAGTGTCCTTACAGAGCTGTCCCTCACATAGCTTCTAACAGGCAGCAGGGCCCTGCCCTCTGCAGGACAGAAGCTGCAGCTTGAAGGGAGGGAAGGAAGGGGTGGTGACAGTATGCAGGGTGGAGGGTAGAGAAAGCCCCTCAAGGCTGCCTGGGGGCACCACAGACACCAGCCCACGGAGTTTAGCATGTGGAGCCCCCGAAGCTTCGAAGGCCACCTCAGGGCAGTGGGGACAAGCTCTCACTGAGGCAGGAAGTTTGTGATAACCTTAGTTCCATTCTCTAGCTGGAGGCAGAATTTAAAAGGTCTGAAAGGGCCTACCCCAGTGGCTCACGCTGCCTGTAATCCTAGCACTCTGGGAGGCCGAGGTGGGTGGATCACTTGAGCTCAGGAGTTGGAGACCAGCCTGAGCAAGAGTGAGATAGTAAAAATAGCTGGGCATCGTATCGGACACCTGCAGTCCCAGCTACTAGGGAGGTGGAGACACGAGGATCATTCAAGCCCAAGAGTTTGAGGTTGCTATGAGCTATGACTATGTGGCTCTCTACTGAGGGTGACAAAGTGAGACTGTCTCAAAAAATAAATAAAATAGGGCGGCGCCTGTGGCTCAAAGGAATAGGGCACTGGCCCCATATGCCGGAGGTGGTGGGTTCAAACCCAGCCCCGGCCAAAAACTGCAAAAAAATAAATTAAACAAATAAATTAAAAGGTCTGAAGATGTAAAGATGAAGTGTTAGCCACCCGAGCAAACTTATTTACGTGGACTCTGTAATTCCTCCAGAAATGCTGGGCCTTCAGAGTTAGAAAGGACATCAGCATCATTGCATGCTACCCACAGGGTATCCCTTCTGCACATCGCCCCCGGCCATCACATAGCTCTCTACTTGAATGCTTCCAGGAACGGGGAGCTCACTACCTCCCAAGGGAACCCATTCCAAAAATGCTGCTCTGTGAAGTCCTCACCAGCTTCTACAGCCAGGCCCTGGGACTATCAGCAACACTGAGAACTTGATGCCTCTGCCACTAAAGGACTAGGACAGTGGGGGCTGGGGCTGCTCCCTCTCCAGCACAGCCTGGTGCTCTGGAGGAAGGGCGGTGAGCAGGGAAGGAGAGTGAGCAGAGCTTGGCTTCCCTCTCCCTAGTCTGGGGGCAGGAAGGAGAATGCAGAGAAAGCTGGGATGGGGGCAGACAATTGGGGGGGGGGTGGTAGTGTTACCCCAGGGATAATTCCAGAAGCATTAGGAGGGCAGCACATACCATCCTCACATTGGGCTCCGCTGACACCTGGAGGGCAGCGGCAGGCCCCCGTCGTGGGGTCACAGGTTCCTCCATTCTGACAGCTGCAGGAGGAGCTGCAGTTCTTCCCGAAGGTATCTGGGGGACAAGCTACAGGGACGACAGGGAAGCACCCAGGTCACCAACCAGCGGGGCTCCGGCCCAGAGACCCACCACAGCCATACCCACGCTGAGACACCCCCCCGCCCCAAGTTGGAGGTAACTCATTGAGAAGTAGCCCCTGGAGCCTCTAGTGATGTGCCTGTGCCCACTGCCCCGCCCATGTTCACAGCACACACGGCCCGCCCCGTCCCTCTGAAGGCCACCACGCTCACTCAGAACTAACCCCTGAAGGCAGGCAGAACAGCACAGAGCTTGCCCTGGCCCGACCATCCGAGCCAGAGGACCCACTGCCAGCCACCCTGCAGCAGCCCCTGCCCCCGCTGTCCTAGGCCCTTAAATGCTGGTTACTTATTGCTGGACCCCTGAGACTGGCATCTCCAGGGACAGAGGCCTCAGCCTGCTTGTCTCCAGGGTATCCCACCACCTGGAGCAGGGTGGACAGATAAGCAGATGGATCCACACGGCCCCTGCCCAGAGCAATAGGAGGAGTGAAACTGTGCATGGTGTCCCCGCCCAGTGGCCTCACTCTCATTGCAGATGAGCCCAGTCCAGCCCGCAGGGCAGTCACAGCCATCCAGGCCAGGGAGGCAGGTCCCTCCATTCCTGCAGTCATCACAGGTCAAGCTGCAATCGTGGCCAAAGGAGTCGTCCAGGCAGACTGGGGGCAGACAGGGTGGGACCTCAGAGCCTGGCCCTGGACTCCAGCCCCACCTGGGCTGGGCAGGCACACAAGGAAGGGACAGGACGGTCACCCCAGCCGGTAAGTGTAGGAGCAGATGCAGGGCTCAGGAGGAGCCTTGAGCTGCCAGCCAGCACGAGCTGTGCAAACTGCCGGAGCAGCTAGACCTCTCTGGGCCTTGTTAGACAAGGGCATATCACAGAGGCCCTTCCTCATACCCAGACCCCAGCCAGGGGCTCTCTGACAGCAAGAGCCCAGGGCTGAGATACTGCTCACCAAACTTCTCCACAAGCGTGTGCTCGGCCCGCAGTTCCACCTCCTCTTCATCCTCCTCCTCCTCTTCCTCCTCAGCCCCTGCGTAGTGGTCTTGGAAGAGCAGCGGCAGCTCATCCCGGAGCACCGCAACATGGGGCAGGGGCCGCACGAAGGGCAGCCGGCTGTCCAGCTCCACCGTGGGCTCCTGCAGGGCTGGGGAGCACAGGGGCCCTTAGACCCCACCTGCTGCCCCAGAGTCCCCACTCCTCGGCCCGGTAGCAGAAGGTCGTCCCAGCTGTACCCCTACCCACTTCTCAATACGGAGAAGCCATGGGCCTCAGAGATCCTGCTGATGGCCCAGCTCCCCCAAGCCCGTCCTAGCGCCCCACCCTGGCTTTAGGTGCTCCAGGCCTGGGCACAGCTGACACCAGTCCCAGGACATCACCTTAGGGCTTGATTCCTTCTCTCAGCTGGTGAAGATGGAAGCAGGACCCTTGGGACTTCCTGAGAGACAGGCTGCCCTGGAAGACGCCTGTCCCCACCCCTGCTGCCCATGGCAAGGTCAGGGCTTCAGTGGGGCCCACATGGTACCCACTTGCCTCAGAGATGGTACAGGCCCAGAGGCCAGGGCACAAGAGACCCCAGGCAGGGTGGGTATGGGACTGGCAGGTGTGAAGTGTACTCTGTGGGCTCTGGCAGGCAGACTACGAAGGCAGGAGACTCACGGGAGCAGCCTCTGCGGTCCTCGTCCAACCGGAAGCCAGCCTCGCAGGAACAGCGGAAGGAGCCGGCCAGGTTGGTACAGTGGTGCTCACAGCCTCCACGGCTGGAGGCGCACTCGTCCACATCTGTGGGCAAAGGAGGCTGCTGGGTAGCCGCTCCAGGTCAGGGGCCCACCCACTGCACAGAGGCCAGGGTGGCCCTGCTGAAGCTCAGCGCTCGCCTTATGACCGAGCTGGGCAAGCCGATCCCGCGGCCATAGCAGCCTCCCTGGCCAACTTCTGGCCCCTCCCCTCCCCCAAGGCCAGGCAACAGTGGACACCTGGTGCAGGGCCTTGTTGGGAGCAACCAGGAGTGCAGACCCAGCCCTAAGAGAGCACAGCCTGAGAGAGAAGGAGTAGGTAGGTCGCATAGTCCTGCATATAGCAAGCACTCAGTGCCCACTATCAGGGCCAGAGCTAGCCCTGTGTCCCTCTCCAGGGTGGTCCCACTCCCCAAGCCACCCAGCAGCTCACCTTCACAGCCACAGCCATCGGTGCTGAGCCTGTAGCCAGCGTAGCAGCCACACTCGTACCCGCCGGGGCTGTTGGCACACACCTGCTGGCAGCACGGGCTATCCACACAGTCGTCCACATCTGCAGGTCATACACACATGCCCACATTCAGCCCCACTGAGCACATCTCCATGTATGCCCCCTGGTGCTGTTTCTCTCACACACACACACACACACACACACACACATATACATGACACATCACAGCCCCTGGGTCACCACATCTGCTATGAGCAAGGTGGGCCTGGGGCCAGGCAGGCTGGAAGGTACCATCCCCCTGAGAGTCAGGCTCTCCCAGCTAAGAGAGGACCCTGCATAGCCACAGTGTGTCAGGTGCTACTCCAGGGGATGGAGGGAGCCTGAGAGGTGCTGAGGGGGGTAAGGTGGGTGCCCAGAGGGCCGTGCATTTTGGGGTCCTCCCAGGTCAGGATGCTGCCTCTCTCTGGCAAGATTAGGGAAACAAGAGGGAATATCAAACCAATCCCAGATCCTGGGATGGGGGAGCCCGGAGGAACCAGCCGCACCGATGCAAGTCTTCTGGTCCCTGTCCAGCTCGTAGCCACGGGGGCAGGTGCAGAGTGGCCCCGAGCTGGTGTGGCTGCAACCGTGGGAACAGCCGCCATTGTCAGCCTCACAGCTGTTCACAATCTCCATCTCGATCCCTACAGAGACCAGCCACCACCAAGTGAGACAGGGCCTGGGGTGAACTACCCACAGTCCTCCCCCACCCAGCAACCAGCCTCTTGGGGCTGGGACAGTCTGCTGCCTGGGCCAGCTCTAGCCCTTTCCCTCCTTCTCCTCTGGGGACCCTGCCCAAGGCTGTGCCAAATGGACAAGGAAGCCCTGCCCCTCAGGTCCTGGAGAGACACCCAGGGCACCTCTAGCCCAGGCCTGCTGCCTGCTGTCCACTCACGGTAGCACTGGCGGCCATCAGCACCCAGCTCATAGCCTGCATGGCACACACACTTAAAGGATCCGGGAGTGTTGAGGCAGCCGTGGGCACACTGAGCAAGCCCGGTGGCACATTCATCCACATCTATAGGAGAGAGACCAAGGGGAGGTTCAGGGGTGCCAGGAGGGAAAGGGGTGGGGAGGCCTTTGACCCACTGACACCTAGGGCCTGTAGCCACATGGCCCAGCTGGTCAGGACAGAGTCCCTGTCAACTGCTAATCACGCCCTTGCAAACTCCTTGGGATAAAGAAGGTGACCCTCAGCTTGGTTTCATACTTACCCCACAAAGCCTCCTGTACCCAGAGTGACAGGGGGCACCCTCCACACAGACAAGCGGTTCCCAACGATGGCAAAGGTGTGGAGCTACGGGACCCTCACTCCCTGTGGGTACCCTGCAGCTATATGGCAGGACACCTCAGAAATTGTTTGCTACCTGCTCCAGACCTCATTGCTCCTAAGACATCCTGAGGGTCACCAGAGCCAGGGAGAGACCCCTCCCCAAGGCTTCCCAGAGCAGCCCAAACATCTGAAGGCCAAATGTCAGAAACACCCAAAGGTCCGGGAAGGCATTATTAACACACATCCCATGGTGGATGGTGGATGGGCTGCCAAGGATGTGGGAATGAATTCCAGAAAAGAGCACCCTGCTGAGATCTGAGTCTAACCGAGAACACTAAGAAACAGTCTCAGGGTAGAGCAGGAGTGGCCAGGAGGTGCCGTCCCCTGGGCTGCTCCTTCGTTCACATCCATCTCTTTGGTTCTCCGGATGAGCAGCTCTTACATTGAGACAGTGTCACTCTGTTGCCCTGGGTAGAGTTCTGTGGCATCACAGCTCACAGCAACCTCAAACTCCTGGGCTCAAGGGATCCTCCTGCCTCAGCCTCCAGAGCAGCTGGGCTAGTTTTTCTTCTATTTTTAGTAAAGACAGAGTCTCGCTCTGCTTCGGCTGCTCTTGAACTCCTGAGCTCAAGGGATCCTCACACCTTGGGCTATCAGAGTTTTGAGATTAGAGGTGGAAGCCACTGCTCCCAGCCTCACAAGGAATATTTTTAAAAACAAAAGTGAAGCCTGAGGTCTCACGTATGCTCCTGTACAAGTGAACTCCTGGTGGGAAGCAGATCCTTGAGTGGTTCCTATCCCCTGGTGGGATCATTCCAAGTCACCCAAAGGTGGCCAGGCAGGGCCAGCCTTGCTGCCAAGGGACAAGTGACCCCAGAGAGGGACAGTACCACAGGTGCACCTGCTGAGAGCAAATGGGGCGAGGGAGGGGCACCCTACCTTCACAGGCCTTGTGGTCGGCCGCCAGCTGATAGCCCGCATGGCACTCACAGCGGGCAAGACCTTGGAGCGGCCGGCACGTGTGCATGCAGCCACCATTCCTCTCTGCACATGGGCTTCTCCCTGCGATCACAAACCCAGAGGGAAGAAATCAGGGTGGGGGCCCCATAGAATGCGGTGCCTACCGCGGGGCCCCTCAGGAAGCCTCCAACCAGCACTCTACCCACTTCCTTGTCCAAGTAGGGGCTTGGTGAGGTGTGGCCCATCTGTTAGGGGAAGCTCCCACATCCAGGAAGAGGGAGACCACCCCACAAGGGCTGGGCCCAGGTCCCAGAGGCCTATAGCAACCCCAGAGAGGGGCAGCTATGGAACTGAAGCATCACCCCACCCCCCAGCTTCCTGATTCCACAGATGTGCAATCCCAGAACACGGCCCTAACAGATGGGCTACACCTCACCAAGTCTCCCAGAGCCTCAGGAACTCTCATGAGATCTGCTTCCAGCTCCAGCAGTCCAGGCAGGGTCCCCCCACTCACTAACGGATGCAACGCCTGCCCTGGGCCCAGGCTGCAGGGTCCTCCCTCTGTCCCCACTCACGGATGCAGCGCCTGCCATCCTCCTGGAGCTGGAACTCGGGCTGGCATTGGCAGCGGTGCCGGGTTGCTGTGAGCTGGATACAGTGGTGCTGGCAGCCGCCATTGGCCAGGGAGCAGGAGTTGATGGCTGAGGGTGTGAGGAGGACCCAGGTCAACCCAGGGGGTTGAATGGCTGACAGTCCCCACCCCAGGTTGGCACGGAACAGAAGATGGCACAGCCACCTCCTCCTGACAGACCCTCTACCTTTCTACCTCCATCTTTGAAGCTGCTCCCTGTCTGGCTCCCAAGCCTGCCTCTGCTTTCTCTGCCCACATACAGGACACGCAGGACCCTAGCCAGTCTTCTGCATCCTCTGGCCCAGCCTGCCTGAGGGCTGGACCCAGAAAGCACTGAGAAGGCTGAGGATGAGGCTTGGTGCCTGAGCAGTCTGGCACACTCCCTGGAAGGAGGTGGTAACAGGGGTGATGGAGGCACCTCATACTCTTGGTCCTCACGTCAAGGCAGGGGGCAGGGGGCAGCTGTGGACAGTCACTGTGGCCCACAGGCTTGACCCCAGCCCCCAAGGGGACAGAGCAACTCTTGCCTAGCACAGGCCAAGCCACACCTCATCCCCAACCTCACGCAGGCCATCCCATGCAGGCCCCTGCAGGAAACAGGCTCTGTGGGGTCTGTGGGAGCCAGATGGGGACCCAGGGAACGGACAACCCTGCCTTCATTGGCCCAGGGAGGTGAGCAGAGGGCACTGGGCCAGGGTGGGTGCCCAGGGTGGGCACTGTGTCTCTGCCAGAAGCAGCAGCCAGTTCCTCGCGGGGATTTGGTGGTGTCTGTGTCATTCGCCTTATGGTTAAGGAGGGGACAGCCCAAGCCTGCGGGGAAGCCGCAAGAATGTGCTATTCCTGTGCCCGGGTGGGGGAGGCTGTCTGCCCGTCATCTGTGCCCAGAGCAAGCCTGAGTCCTGCTGCCAAGGCACCAAGATTGGGAGTGGGAGGCTCCACCCCCAGGATCTGCCTTTTGGGGGGTGGTGCTGCAGTTTGGGTAAAGTACTTACCACCATTGCATGTGGGGTGGGAACCCAATACCACAAAGGAGCTGCCGGGGGGAGCAGGCGGGGCTCCGGGAGCCCCAGACACGCTGCCAGCCCAGGGCAGAACCTCTGTCAAAGCTTGTCCCAAACCCACAACGCTCACCACACCACCTCGCCTCCCTCCCTGCCAGTGGGGAGCATGTGCTAAGGGTCCCCTCCAGGGGGAAGACGCCACAGGTGGCAGTGACTGCTCCATCTCCTGGCTCCACCTGGGCCTGGTGCATGTGGAAGGAGAGGCCCAGGACAGAACGGACCGGAGCCCATCAGCCCCAAGGTCCCCTCCCCACCCACCTATCTCCCAATTCTGCCATGACCCTGGGGCCAGACAGGAGCTATCCTGCTGCCTCCCCCAAGATGGCTCTGCTTAAGCCACTGGCCATCATTGCAGAGGCTTCCAAGTATGGCCTGATCCAGCCCCGCATTCCTGGGGGCTGTTTATTTGTGTTCACAACACCAACTGCACCCCCGCTTGGAACACATAATAGGAACCAGAAGCCCTTTCTGGCAAGGCCAGGCAGGCATGGAGGGGTGCAGAGCCCAAGGTAGGGGAGCCAGCTGAGCAGGCTCATGGACAAGAAGGCCCTGGGGAGCTATGGCCATGCTGGGATAGAGAGGGGCTTCCCAATCAGCTCTCCAGACAAGAGACCAGGACACCCAGGCACTGGAGCCCAACAGGGGCAGGTGGGGGTCCTGTTTGGGGGGGAGGGGGGAAGGGTCTCTGCAGAGCCATCCTCCCCACTTCTCACACTTGTGACACTCCAGCTGCTCCCAAGCTGTGCACACCAGGGAGCCAAGCCCAGTGTCATTGCACAGCCTAAGCTATGGGTTCCCGGAAAGCTGAGCAAGGCAGATTTTCTCAGGCACTGGCTGTGCAGCTTGCTCAAGAAGGGCCAGCCTGTGTAGCCAGTGCCTAGTGCTAGGGGGGATGTTCCCATTCCCTCCTGGTCACTGTGACACTCACCTATGAAACACACAGCCCAGCAACCCCTGCCCAGGCCACAGCAAAACTGCACACCTGACTGCCATTCTGCAGATCAGACCAAGCTCAGCAAAAGACAGGGATTTGGGATCTGCCTCTGAGTAGGGGGCAGGTTCCCGCTCCCCAGTTTGTACTCACAGTGCCCTCACCTGATTCACCTGCTGACAGACAGGCATCCTGACAATCCTGCATCCCTTTCAGGTCTGTTACAAGACCAAGGGCTATTTTCACAAAGGGAAACCTCCCTGATGGTGAGGGTTTGCTGGTGGGTATGAGCAACCCTGCCAGATGTTCTCGTCCCCTGCTGACTCCAGGCGCTTTCTCTGCCAGGGCCTCACTTAGGTCCCAGTCCACTTCCAGGTCAGCTGGAGTGACGATAGCTGGAGGGCACTCTGTGCTACGGAGTGAATGTTTGTGTGCCCTCCCCAAATTCATGTGTTGAAGTCCTAACCCCTAACGTCATAAAGTCACACATGTTTGTGTGCCCCCAAAATTCACGTGTTGAAGTCCTGACCCCTAATCTCACCATATTTGGAGAGAAAATCTTTATGGATATAATTAAAGATAAATGAGGGCAGAAAGGATTAGTGTCCTCATTAGAATAGACTGTCCCTCCTCCCTCACAGCACAACAGCAGCCAGAACTAAGGTAGCCTTCGCCAGGAACTGAATTGTCTGGCACGTCCATCCAGGACATCCAGCCTCCAGAACTGTGGTATTTGGTTAGTCAGCCAGAGCTGACTGAAATACCCAGATGCCCCAGTCTGTAAATTTCAGAACACCCCACTTCAGCTGGGATTTGTAAGGTCCATTAGAGCTGGCTGCAGCACCACCCTCTGCCAGCAGAAGTCACCACCGAGGAAACTCATCAAATGTGAGGCTTGGTGCTCTTCTAAGGGAGCAGGTGGGGACCCCAAGAAGTACATGGAAAATTCTAGAATACAGTCTTTCTCCAGGACAGAGGGTCAGGACTGTCTGTGAGGCTTGTTCTCCACTCTTGGGAGGTGCTGTGCTCCTGACCAGGGGCGCTACTCCTGAATTAGGAGGCAGCTTCTGCAGTCTGGGAGGGACCCAGTGCTAAGTGTGGTACAGCCAAGGGCCCTGGAGGAAGCAGTGGTGCTGTCCGCAGTGGCAGACCACCACCACCACAAGCTTGTCAGCTAAGGGCTAGGCCATGGCAGGGGCCAAGCCCACAGGCTGGCTCTGAGCAAGCTCCAAACTCACCTGGGGGGATCGGGTTGGCTCCAAGGTGGTTTCCCAGAGGTTTTGTAATTACTGCCCGCTGACTGGGCTGGCTTCTAGGTCCCAGAGTCTCCTGCCACATGTGGTCAATGGTCACCCACAGCCCTTCCTTCTAGAAAGCCCTCTGTTGGGGCCAGGGCTAGGATGGCAGAACCAGATGGGGGGTTCATCCCTTTCTTCCCCACAGGCAGCCCAGGGTTCACCCCCTGCTTCCTGCCCTGCCCCCGCCTTGTGCATGGGGGTGCTCAGCTCACTCACAGCCACAGAAATGTTCCTTGCTCCTATGCCACTGCCCCACAACACAGCCCCTCAACACAGCACCAAGTGGGGAGAGAAAGGCCACCACTCCCTCCAGGGACCCAGGCTGAGCTGACCTCCTGGCCCATACCTGGGCGAGGGCCAGGCTACCCTGTCCACCACACCAGGAGCTAACTGTGCTTCACCCACTGGTCTGACCTCCCTTTGCTCCCAACTGACCCCCAGAGGCACTAACTGTCCTGCCCATCGGTCTGCCCTACCTTCCCCTTGAGTTTCTGGACACAGCCTGGGTCTGTAGCCCTCAGCCTCCCTGAGTTAAGATACACCTATCCCACAACCCCACCACTGCACTGAAGCACCTCAGCACCACCTCAGCCCACCCCATGGGATTCTGGACTCAGGCAAGGCTGGGACAGGGTCCTCCCTGTGTAGAAGTCCAGGGTGGTCTCAAGGGATAGGGTGAGGGGCTGCTTTTGCCTCCTTTCCCAGGGGCTTGGCTCAGGCTGGGCCTCCTCTGGCGCCTCCAGTTGGGAAGACAGACTCTGCTTGTGCAGCTGCAGCCTGTCTGGCCTGGGGATGGCAGGAAGCATTGGCAGGGAGCACCTGTGGCTTTACATGGATGGGTTTTACAGACGAGCCTGGTGGCCTGCACACGTGTACGCCTGTGGCTTTGGCCCCTGTCCCAAGATGTTGCCAGCAGCAGCTTCCCCAGGCCTCCCCTACAAGCAGGAGTTGAGGGAGCATCCTGGGGGCCTGCTGCCCTGATGGGGAGTCCCAGGCCTGGGAAGAAAATGGTCTGCCCCCGGGGGACATGGCAGGCCTTTGGCAGAGGCAGGCAGGAGATGGATATGGAGGCCTCCTCTAGCTGTGCACACACCAGGGCCCATCTGACTCTGGGGAAAGGGGACATGGGCAGAGGGCAGCCATGTCCAAGGCTAGGGCCAGGTCAATCTCAGGACCCTGGGGCAGGTGTGGTACTGGCTCAGAATACCCCAGGTGCACAGGAGGCTCCCCCAGTGCCAAGTAGCAAATGGCCTGGAGCTGTTCTGCTCCTGGGTTTTGCATGCTGCTCTGCAAGGCATTATGGGAGACAGAGGATGACACACCTAAACACCACAGCCAGGCCACTGCCCTGGGCAGGCCCTACTTTCCACAGCTGGGGAGGGAAAGAGCTAACCCAGGCCCTGCGGGTAAGAAGCAGAGACTGGGGGCCATGCCCAGGAGGACATCCTGGGTAATGAAGTATCCCAGGACTAGGGGCACCAGGGAAGGGGGACAAGGCCCCAGGGTCCATCTCTTCTTGCACTCAGAGCCAGTGGCAAAATTCTTCTTTTAAATCTTACTGTTAAGGACAGAACCTTTTTGCATTTTACTTCTGAAGCCCTACCACAGCCTAGGCCCAGAGGGTGCTACTGTGACCCTGAACTGGAGGATAAGACCACTGGCAGCCCCAAACCCTGCAGGCTGGGAGTCCTGATGGGGAGAAGGAGGGGCTGGAAGTCCAGCAGAAGACCCTCAGAGTCCTGGCAGGGTCCAGGCAGCGTGGCTTGGACCAGACAGTACGCTCAGGAGGCCCCCTGCAGGGCAGCCCCTCAGCACTTTTTCCTTCCCTCCTCCTCACTCCAAGCTGCTGGGGGAAGGTCTGAGATTTCATAGCCTCAGGGCTGCAGGGACCCACCCCACCTGCACCAGCCAGTATGTCCACCCCACTGCCCAGCAGGTACCTCAGCAACAAGAGTGGCTTAAGATGGCTAGAGCCCTGGGACAGGCACACTGGCTCTGTCAAGGAAGAAGCCCCAGGAGACCCCGTGTCCACTCTGGGAGCTTCTCAGGCCCCCCATAAGTAAGGCAGCCCATGGTGGGCTGACAAATCTACACCCATCCTGGACACTCCCAGGAGACCTGGGACCTGGCCTGCCCACCAGCTGGTGTCAGCTCCCAGGAATTCCTGATACATGGAACTAGCCACCAATAGCCCCATCCAGAGCGAGCAGCCCCCATAGGGCAGGAGACAGACAGGGAGCACTGAGCAGGTGTCTGGGCAGGGGTCTGGGCAGTGCCCAGGCACGGGCAGTCTGGGAATGGGGCTGATCCACACGGGTCGGGTGATGCTTGCCAAAGTGAGGGTTGCCACCCATTCCCCTGGAGAAATCACCCTGCCCACAATGATGGCATTTTGTTATAGTGAAAGACCATGCCGAAAGCCTCAGCCACGTCTCCACAGTGAGACTGTGACTCTGTGAAGCTTTGGCATAAAGTCCCTGCCAGGAGGTGCAGTCAAAAGAAACAGATGATTCTGAGATCACAGCTCTACATCCAAACAGCAGCATAGATGAAAGCCCTCTGGAGACAGGCAGCTTACAGGTGAGTATCCCCTCCAGTGGGAGACAGGAGGAGGGGGCCCTGCACCCGGAGGGCTGTGGAGGCCCTAAGAGCCTCCCAGACAGGGTGCATACTTTGAGGTCTGTCAGCTAGAGGGGCTGGAGGTCCTTGTAGCCTCCTGCCAGGCTGAGTAGACGCTGCCCAGGGATCTGCTAAAAAGACCCCTTAAAATAAGCAAATACCCCCAATTAGGACTTCTGGGGCCTGGAGCTACAGACATCTCCCAGGAAAGGGTCTACGAAGGCAGCCACAGGCATAGCAATGCACTGGGCTAGGCAGGGTCCCAAGGCCACTTTTAGCAGTCGCTATGGGTCATTTCTGAGCCCTACAGAATATAGCTCCCTTTGCATGTTATTACTTATCCCATCCCCATCCTGTCCCTTCCAGGGGCATCTCAGGGAAGGACACTGGCCGCACAGATCGTGGAGAGGAAGATCAGGGAGTATGGCCAGCCAGGCAGACGGGTATCCCCACCCTGGAAGGGCCTCCAGGGTCTTCCTTCTTCCAGGAAAGCCCTGCCTGAGAAGGGGTAAGGGAAGGACATGCCCCCCCCCCAGCTGCCTCTTCCAGGGGGCCTGAAGGCTACAAAGCCCCCAGTCACGGCTTCCTGAAGCCCCTCCAGTGGGCAGAGGGCTGGGACCCCCATTTTAGCCGTCCTAAGCACATCACAACATTCCTACATCTGTTTCTACTTTCCAACCCCGGAAAACTTCATGGGGCAGCAGCCTGGCTCCCCGCAGCGGCCAGGACATGTGAGTGTGCGCCCAGCCCCCTGGGGCTGGCAGGCCGCCCTGCCACACGGCAGGCAGGGCCAGGAAGGAGCTGCTCAGAGCTGCCTGGGCCTGCTCTAGTCTCTGAAGTGGAGAGAAGCACCCTACCCCCAGGCCCTCAGAGAATAGCCATGTGACTCCCAGGCAGAGGCCAGCGGGAAGGGGTCTTCAGTTGACACTTACCCAGGCAGGTCCTGCCGTCCGTGTGGAGCCGGAAGCCAGGCTTGCACTCACAGAGGTAGGAGCCAGGGGTATTCACGCAGCGGTGCTGGCAGCCACCGTTGTGTGCTTGGCACTCGTCCACATCTGGGCAAGAGCGGGGACGTGTTAACATCTGAGCACGTGCCCAGCACAGCCCACCTCGCCGAGGACCTGCCCCCCACCCCAGTGCCCAGGTATTAGGGCACCAAGCCCTTCACCCACATCTGCTAGAACCAGGGCAGAGGAGGCAGTGTCTGTCCTCCCACCAGGGCCATCTGCTCAGGTGGGGCACAGCAGAGGAGAGCAGGGTTGCAGGGGATGGCCTAGCTCCTAACGCCTTTCAAGACTGATCTTGAGTACCCGCCATTTCCTTAAGTCCAAATCCAGAAAATGCTTCCAGGCAAAGCCACCCCCCTCCCCCCACTGAGGCTCAGGAGCCCAAAAGGAGAAACTGAGAACTTTTGAGAAGACCCAGCACTGGCTGCAGGGGGTGGAAGAGCCAAAGCGTGGGGAGGGTGGGGGGCAGGGGTGCTGGTTTAAACATCTTCTGCCCTAGATTCATGTCCATCTAGAGTCTCAGAACGTGACTGTGGCAGGAAACAAGGTCGCTGCAGATGTAACAAGTTAGGGATCCAGATGAGATCATTCTGGACAAGGGTGTCCTGACAAGAGACACACACAGAAGACAAGTGAAGACCTGGCAGAAACTGGGTGAGGTGGCCACAAGCTAAGGATGGCCAGGAGCCTCCAGAGGCCAGAAGGAAGGGCAGGGAAGACCCTCCCTGCAGGTTTGGAGGGAACACAGCCCTATTGACACCTGGAGCTCAGATTCTCCATCTCCAAACTTTGAGAGAAGAAATTCCTGCTGCTTCAGACCACCCAGTTTGTGGTGTTTGCTATTAGCCCTAGGAATGAAATGCAGGGACCCAGAGGGAAGCTTTGCCACATCGCCAGACAGGTGCCCTGATCGGTGCCCTGCCCTATAAAGTGCCATCCCTACCCCAAGCACCAGACCCTCCAGACCTCCCCACCCAAAGGCCAACTCAGATGCAGAACTGTGCATTGACAGTTTCCAAGCTCAGGAGTCTCCACTCAAAGAGGGACAGGGGACGGAGTCTAAGGCTGGCCTGATCTCAAAGCCCCAGCAGTATCCTCACTGCCGGACTTCCAGGGCCAGGAGAGGCCAGCCAAGGGGAGCAGAGCAGCAGCCTGGGGCCACAGATACCCTGCAGGGCCCCATCCACCCCTGCTCATCAGCACAGCCTCCTGCCCCCAGGTGTCCCTAAGCATGGAGAATGAGGGGGGGAGGGGGGAGATGAGGCAGGTCATCTTCCTGCCCACATGTCCCCCACCCCCAGGCCCACACAGCCAAGCCAGGCCTCAGAGGAGTCCAGGCAGACAGATAAGAGGTAGTAAGTCACTAGTCCTGGAACACCCAAGTGTGAAGCTCCTGGGCTGCCTGGGACCGCAGCTGACTGGCGGGGCACCCAGCACACGGGAGTTCTTAAAGCTGCCATGGCTGGGAAGAAACCAGCAGTGGAGACAGATGGAACTGGCCATGTCCAAGGCTGTCCCAAGAATGCCTGGTGACCCCTATCCATAAGAATTCTGGGGGAATTCCAGGAGGGTTCTCTAGGGGGCCTGGTGGCTTCCAGGCACAGCTGAGAGGCAGCCGCCCACTCCCTGGTTAATTTGAGAGAGAGGCCTTGATAACGTGGGCCTGATGGCCAGAAGACATTGAAAGATGAGGGAGGGAGGGAGGCTGATACCCTGGCAAGGACAGAAATGGGAGCCACCCTGGAACAGGACATGGGCACCAACGTCCTTGCCTACAACTCAGGCCAGGTGACACTTTTTATCTTCCAACCTCACCAGCTGGGCAGCCAATGCCAGATCAGAAGAGAGGGGGCCACTGAGAGCCGCCATTAACAGAGAGACAGGCATGTAAATGCTCTTTGTGTAAGCTATGAGCTGAGCGCCCAGGCCCTCTGGTCAGGGTGACAACAGGCCCTGACCACTGCCCATGCCTTGAGAGGAAAGGATACTTTCCATGCTTAGACATTTCTACACTGCTGGGAAAAGATACTATTGTTTCAAGGGATGAGTACTTGGCCGCACTGGAATGTGGCTGGCTGGGACGCCCCATGCGCAGCTACCCAGAGCCAAGCTTGTAACAATCTGCCAGGTTTCCACCATCAGCTATGACCTCTCCATACAGCCATACAGTCCCCTCCATCCCCATGAAAATGACTGCCTTTGAGGTGCCCACCCTAAACTCCAGCCATCCGAGCTGGATAATGCTAACGGCGGGACACAGGACCAAGCTCTTCACAGCTGTCCCCTCAGCCTGCACCAGGTGGTGCCCGCCTACTAGGCTGCGTCTCCTGAGTATAGAGTGCAGAGACCTGCTGCCAATCTGTGCCTGGCCACCCAGAGTCTCTGTCTGGGTTCCAGGGCCCTGTACTCCACATACAAGCCATTTCTGCTCTGGGGAGACCCCAGTGTCCCTCCTAAGCCCCAAGGTTGCCTCAGGGGGAAGGCAAATGAGACCAAGAGCACCTCTCCAGCTGCACAGGAGTCAGACTAATATTCTTCAGACAGACACCAGGATGGTTTGTGGGAAGAAGCTTGAAAACAAAAGGTTAACAGACTTCAAAGAGCCCCAAAGAAGCCCCTGGGAACAGAGGGTTCCAGATCCCTCCAATAGGAGTGTCAGCTGGGGAGACAGGTGCCTGCTGGAGAGGGGAGGTGGGCAGCACCCACCCAAGAGAGACCCTTTCCCCAAGCTCAGGACCTCACTCAGACCCCGAGAGAGCCCCTGAAAGGTAATGGTGTGAACCCACAGTCTCCACAGGGCATGTAGCACCGGCTCATGCAGCCAGTAGGAGCTGGCTGGTTCTGTAAAATCCCAGCTGTCAGCCAGTGGTTCTGACGTCAACCTCAGCTAACAGAGAGACTGACTGAGGTGATACTGGACAGAGAGTGGTGGGTGTAGGGTCATCCTGAGCCCTGGCTGGGGAGGCTGGACCTGGAGGCTACACCTTCACACAAACAGGTCAGTCTGGAAAGAAGCGCCAGGTAGATGCCAGCATGGTGCAGCCTTACCAGTCATCAGGCCCCCTGCAGCTGGCTACCCTCCTCTCCGGCCCAACCCTGCACAGCCTAGGCACCGTACTCACATACACCTGCACCCCCATGGCTCCCATCACCCTCCCACTATGAGGACAGGACCATCTGCTCTCTAGTATCCTGCCCTAGGGCTCTCCAGTGGCTCCCAGCACCAAGTCCCTGCAGAAATCCCAGCTCCTACAAGGCAGAGGCGTGGTCCTTAGCACCTCTTCCCCACCCCACCCCCGTGCCCCTCCCTCCCATCACACCCTTCCCCCATGGCGCCCCTCACAGTAGGGGCTGGCACACTGACCTCAGCCTAAGCCCTGAATGTCCATCCCTGAAACTGCAACATCTAGAGGTCAGGGGACTGCTGTGGGGGGAGACAGGGCCTGGGGTGGGGGCCCAGGCAGGGGGCACTGAAGCACTGCTATGGCTTCCGGCACCCGCTGTCTGCTGTCAGCCAGGATCAGAATCTGGACAGAGTGAGCCACTCAAGGCGGAAGGACTTGGGGCCTCCCCTCACCTGCTTATGGACAGGGCACCTAGCCAGACGACCTCCTGCTGGGGTTCCCTCTTTGAACTGAGCAAATCCCCTTTAGAGAAAGTATTTACATTCAGCAAGGCAGGAAGAGATCCCTCAACCCTGCCCACTCTGCTCCCATGGAGCCCAGTAGTGGAGGAACAGAGATGCCAGAGGACCCTGCAGGTAGGTGCTGAGCCCACGGCCTAAGGAGCTACCGGTGCCCGTTAAGGACATTGCAGTCAGCTGAATAACACCCCCCAAAGATGTCCACATCCTCCTTCCCTAAACCTTCCACAGCAAAGGGCTTTGTGGGGGGACTGAGTTAAGGATGCTGTGAAGTCATCCCGGGTCCTCTAACAAGGAGGCAGGAGGGCCGGAGGCAGAGGGAGGAAGTGGGAGGTTCAAGGGTGCACCTGAAATGCACACAGGCTCCAAGAACTGGACAGGATAAGAACACCACCACCACCACCCCCGCCGAGCCTCCAGAAGGAACACAGCCCTGCCCATACCTCAATTTCAGCCCATTCTGGACTCTGACCTCCGGGACTGTCTGAGTGTGTGAGGATTTGTTACAGCAGTGGGACCAGTGCCCTGGACACCCCACACAGCACTGGCACTTTAGATTCTGAACACCAGCAGAAAGAGTTGCAGGGGGAGGCTTGAACCCCTAGGCATGAGGGAACCCCCAGAGGAGGCCTCCTCCCAAGCTCGCTCAGCAGAGTCAGGAGATGAAGTGGGCTCATTCCAGGGACAGCAGACTAGCCTGGGGGCAAGACCATTCTACCCCATCAGCCTAACACCAAGCACTACACCTGGGGAGGGGGACAGGCCAGGGAGGGTCAGGGCAGCTACGTCATGTACCAGAGAGGAGCCATGTGCAGGGAGTAGTAGGGCCTGAGAGTGGCTATTTTAAGGAACAGCTGGGCCAGGGTCCTGCTGCTGCCCTCCACGAGGTACCTAACTGTGGACATCAGCGCACATGGGACGCTGGCATGGCTGGTTCCCTAGGAAGCCAGGCTAGGCCTTTGGTGCCTGCCTGGCTGGCAGAGCCTCGGGGAGCCCATGGAGCCTCCATCACCATCTCTCTACAGCTCCTGGCTGGGAATAAGTCCTGGGCCACGGGCATGAGTGGCCTGCCACGAATGGGCCACTGCTGAAGCTGGCCCACACTCACAGGAAACTTGGAGCCCTCTGGACACCTGCCAGAAAGCCTCACTCAAGTTCAGAGCCTGGCTTTGTCCTCAATATGACATGAGATCCCTATTCCCAAGGAGTACATACCATGACCCACAAGCCCTTCTCTCTGCCCTGAGAGCTGCAGCAGGCCTGGACCCAGGTGGGGACTCCCAGCTCCCCAAAGCACAGCTATGCCCAGCCTGAGGCCTTGGTGCTGGTCTCATGGCAGTCAGTGCCACTGCTGGTGGAGTGACAGCACTGACTTGGCCTGGGCTGAGCCACCAAGTGAGAGGTT